ACGCTTTTGTTGGCCTGGCATGAATCAAAACGCAACGATTAAAGACATTACTGCTGAAACAGTGGCTCGCGCTTTCGTCGAACGATGGGTAGCAAATTTCGGCTGCCCTTCCACAATCACTATAGACCGCGGACGCCAGTTCGAATCTGGACTTTTCCGTTGTCTCACCTCACTTTTAGGAATCACGCGCTTCCGAACGACCGCCTACCACCCACAAGCAAACGGGCTGGTAGAACGTTTTCATCGACAATTAAAAGCTTCATTATCAGCTTCAAACGTTTCACAGTGGAAAGACGCTCTTCCACTCGTCTTACTAGGTATCCGCAATGCAGTGAAAGCTGACATTGGATACACTGCATCTCAACTCGTTTACAGGACGACACTCCGACTCCCAGGAGAATTCGTAGATCCTTCAGCTTCTTCATTGAACATGGATCTACACTCTTACACGAGTAGGCTTACAAACGCTATGCGTTCAGTTGAACCTGCTCACACTCGACCTCAATCAACTGATGTTTTCGTTCAACCCGAATTACGACATAGTACACACGTCTTTGTTCGTCGAGACTCACATCGACGACCCCTGGAATCAGCATACGAAGGACCCTTCAAAGTTCTTCAACGCGAACCTAAGTACTATGTAGACGATAAGAACGGTACGAATGATAGCATCAGTATCGATCGACTCAAAGCAGCGTACTTAGAAGGAAACTCTAGCTACGTTGATTTTCCTTCGGTACAATCGTACGACACGGCTCCTACACTCGTAGTACCCTACACGACAACCGACACACAACTTGATACTTCGTCAACGTCGATAGATAAACCTAAAACAACGCGTTCTGGAAGACGAGTAAGATTTCCAGAACATCTTGGCGAATATTGCACGTAGGACATAAGCTTTATTATGAATTACCCTTTCATAGTTTATTATGAAATTTTTTTAATGTGCTCATTTTTTTACTTATATAAAAAACAAAACAAAAAAAACAAAACATTTTTATTTTTTTTGTTGAGCGTATATATATATATTTTTTATATATAAAAAACCCAAAAAACCCTTTTTCTGTCTATCGCTTTTACGCTGTTTGTAAGTGTATTAGTTTATTTTTTTCCCGCTCATCTTGTGTCCTTACGCAAGTACGAGTGTATTTTCGACATGCACTCACACGTTTTATTTTTCCTCTTTTCCAGGACGGCTGGAAAAGAACGACGAAGTTTCGCAAGGAACCGAAATTTTCATTGTACTATATTTATTTATTACTATGTTGTACATTTTGGTCCCATAGTTTAAGGAAAGACGACCAGACGCTGCTAAACGAAGCAAGCTATCAGAAGAGTGTTTACCAACGACAAACTCGTTGGGTTTAAACTTCTGGCTAGTCACGTCTTAGGGGCATCGCTACATCACTCTGGGAAGAGTGATCTGTAGCTGTAAATAATTCCCCAAAATCAATAGTTCATTAAGTGTTCGACATTGGATGCTGACCACGTTGTTTAAGTGGACTTGTTTAACTGAAGGCTTTCGGTCATGCATCCGTACCAGATCACGTTGCAACACGGCGTGGGACACAGCTCCTACGTTACAATAGCCGGTTAAGAACGAAGTCTCTCAATATATTGGTAACGAACCAAATATATCTTTCCTGTCTCTCCTCGTCTGACTTCTGGTTTCTATTCGACTGGGAACGATCGATTATAGAAGATACTACTGGTTGCTAGTTGTAAAACTAGAATATCTGTGGTATCCTCAGTGGTGAGACCGACATGATCTGGTACACCAAGCCAATATACTGTGAGTCTGTTCCATTTTGGAATATTATTATTCATTGTTATTCTTTATTTGAATTTTATATATTGTGATATACTGTTTTTTCGCGACTTTTTTCCCCCGGATATATTTTAATTAGACATTTTTCGTTATCTATGTTACTATGACGGAACACTCACCTAAGGTTTTTAAGTTAAAGTTTATTCCCCCTATTTCGATTCAGTTAACGCCATTTTGGCCCGACAATATCGAGTCCTGGTTCTGCTACGCGGAAGCTGATTTTTGCATGCACGGAATCACGGACTCGCGCATACGAATCCTCGCGGTAGTTAAGGCGTTACCGCGCGAGTTTAACAGGTTCGTAACACCTAGTATGTTTACTAGTGATGTTCCCAAACCTTACGAAACTCTAAAATGTTCGATTCTAAAACGTGGAAACCTAACCGACCGACAACGGTTAGATTAACTCTTCCATAACATCGACTTGCAACAGGGTTCTGCGACAGACATGTTGCTAAGAATGAGAGAGGTTATCGGCCAACGAACTTTCGATGGTGGCCTATTCAGACAACTTTTCTTGTCTAAACTTCCTCATCAGGTGCAGGCAGTACTCGTTTCATTTCAAAACAACGCCATAGATGAGCTGGCTGCATCTGCCGATCGAATCTTACAAATCACTAAATCTTCTAAGGCCGAGGTTTTTTCCGTCAAGGAGAAACCCCAATGGACCCCGACTGACATAGCCGAACTATGTCACACGCTTACACGATATCTTAGAGTTCGTAATGACCGTAGTCGGTCAAAAACCCCGCGTAGAAGCGCCTCACGTAAGCGATCTGGCTCTCGACCACGAGAGCCAGACAATCCCGACTGGTGCTGGTATCATAACCAGTACGGTAAGTCTTCCAGAAATTGCAGGAAACCCTGCAATTATCCTACCTCAAAATCAAGTGACACGAAAAGCAGTTCGAGAAACTTCCCAGCCGGCACGCGTTAACGGCAACCGTAGCCGGCGAACACAGCCGCCTCTTATATGTCACGGATGTGACTACGGCTGGAAAAGAACGACGAAGTTTCGCAAGGAACCGAAATTTTCATTGTACTATATTTATTTATTACTATGTTGTACATTTTGGTCCCATAGTTTAAGGAAAGACGACCAGACGCTGCTAAACGAAGCAAGCTATCAGAAGAGTGTTTACCAACGACAAACTCGTTGGGTTTAAACTTCTGGCTAGTCACGTCTTAGGGGCATCGCTACATCACTCTGGGAAGAGTGATCTGTAGCTGTAAATAATTCCCCAAAATCAATAGTTCATTAAGTGTTCGACATTGGATGCTGACCACGTTGTTTAAGTGGACTTGTTTAACTGAAGGCTTTCGGTCATGCATCCGTACCAGATCACGTTGCAACACGGCGTGGGACACAGCTCCTACGTTACAATAGCCGGTTAAGAACGAAGTCTCTCAATATATTGGTAACGAACCAAATATATCTTTCCTGTCTCTCCTCGTCTGACTTCTGGTTTCTATTCGACTGGGAACGATCGATTATAGAAGATACTACTGGTTGCTAGTTGTAAAACTAGAATATCTGTGGTATCCTCAACATCTTCACTAAATAGTTGTTTCTAGATACATGTACTTACTTTACTATGGTGGTAGTAGTTATTCGAGTCCTAGATCCCTAAAAAAATCAATTTCAGTGTTTGTATTGAATATTCTCACGTCGTTGTTGATCGACAGTTTTATTGAGTTCTAGATGCTTTTCTATTGCAGTTGTGACAGCCGCTTAACCACACTTTCCTTGATTCTTTAGTCAGGTATTCACCTTTAAAGTCCTTTAAAGCGTCTAAGTTTTCTTTCATTATTCCGAAGAGCATCTAGAGAAATTTTTTAAATAAATCTGTTTCTGAATTCAATGCCTCAGTCTCTAATCTGTCTGAGCATATGTGACGTTTGGGTATTATGAAGACCGTGATAAGCAATGCAATATACAGCTGAACAACTTCTCTTGAACTCAAAAAAGAAATTGTACCGTGTACTAACACCAAGACAAAAGAATAAAGAAATAAGTATGTTTACACTACGTTGTCATCAAGATATTGGAAGTTGGTCGAATTTTGAAGTGAAGGTTGTAGTTGGTGTGCTCAAGGTCGCCTTTTGTGCTTTGTCTATTTGTCTGTAAAATCTTAAGCCAAAATATCAGTGCACGTTTGCGCTCCGTATTCTGCTAAGTAGTAAGGTCATAGCTAAGAAAAATTATAAATTTAGGTTTTTTTATATGATGATTTAATCTTCGTGGTGTTTCCACATATATTATCCGAACAATTGTTGCCTTAATGGCAAATCAAAGTCCACAGCTAGATAAATTGTCCACTCAAAATTCTCATATCAGTGGTAGGTGTCGTTGAAGTTTGATTCTGATTGGATAAGAGTTTTTTAAAGTAACACGGGTAATAGAGTAATATTTTTTGCGAGATTTTCAGTTATTCAACCTATTTTGCTGTAAGGTTCACACGGCTACTGCGCTGGAGTTGAGGCCGCTACTTTCACAAGCTATAAGTTGCTGTCTTCTTGTCTGTTTCCGTATTCATTGAAGCAGGATACAAGTATTTCTCCGTAACTGTGTTGTAATTTGAAGACGTTTAAGCTGGAAAATAATTCTCAAATAACATATTATTGTGGCTGTACAGTATTGTGCATTTTTCAGTAGTAGTAATTTCAACACCACTCATATGCTTAAAGTTATAAATCCGAAAATGAACAATTGTAGTAATTGTTGTTACATACTCGTCAAGATCGGCATTTATTTATTCTTGCCACAGTGATTATAGTTAATCGTTCGTTACGTCGCTTAGACTCCTTGCTGTCTTAAAAAGTACTTTTATTAATCACTGAAGGAGGCGTTCTTCTATACAAATCTACTAACGTCGATCTTTCTGATAGGTTTTCTAGTCCGCTGCTCTTTTTACAAACATTTTAGTTACACTATCAAGTAAAAAATAAATAAAGTTGCATAGCCATGTGGAATTTCCATGACAGTTTCTTTTTTTAAGTGTCTTCAAATGTAGTCCCTAGAACGTACTAAGGGTTTCAGTTCTTAACACTGATGTAATAATCAATCAAATGCTTTCCTACTTTGCAGCTATTACATAACCTGTCTCACAACACTTTCAGTTACTGTTTTTCTGTGTCCTTATGTTTCTAATCTATGTTTAGATAAGTAATGTCCTGTAATAATAGTCACATAATCAGTCAGAACAATGTAAAGAGCGAACCATCTGTTTCAACTTGCTTACCGGATAGGAAGACTTCAGTAAGTTGAGATGAGTTCTATTGAGAAGTTTTATTTAATAACTTATTTATGTTATGACTGAATGAAAATTGTAGAAGTCGGAATTGTTTTCCCAAGTTATTGTCATTCATAGTTCTGCGTAATCACTTAGTTGCTAGATTACTATGTATATGAATTCCTTTCGGTAAACCCATTAAATATTTTCATATGATTTTCCATCCCTAATTTATTGCTAGCCTATCATTTAGTCTCCACTGATCATAACCACCCTGTGCTTGTTTATGTATAATTGTTATTTTCCATTTTATAATATGATGCATTCTGGTATGTCTGTATATAAATTATTTCCGTTTTAAAAGCAAATACATTAGAGGCGGATTGATGCTTCTGAACTCGAGGGTAGTGTTAGAGGGGAGCCAATCAGTGTTAGAGCAATAGGAAAAATGACTCCTGGCTCACTTTCAATAGTGCTGGTCGAACGTGTAATAAATGAGAGACTCTAAGCTATAGAATAAATAGCAGATCAAGTTAGAATCAGGACCCTAATTAGTAACTAGGCACGTAATGTTGGCCAGTAGTCATAAAATAACAATTTGCCTCATATAAACTACCAAGATGGATCATCTTTGTGGTTATCGCATATCAAAACAAGCTAAAAATCCTGATAGTCATCATTAATACTATTATAAGATTTACAAACTAGTACCTTTACAAAATTAAACCTAGAACCTTCAGTTCATCCAACAACCCTGCTACTGATCAGCCATTGAAGTAAAGCATATTCTACACTTTTCAATTATAGTTAGTTCATAACACCTGGAATATTTTTTAGCATTATTGACTTAAACTTTTTTAAGCTCCTCAAATTTTATTAGAAATTAGATTCACATGTACAAGTTAGGGTTAACTTTATCCATCCTTCCTTTAATAAACTCAGTTCCACGCCCAAACAAGTGCAAATAATGTAACTAAGTAAATTCCTGTCCAAGGTTTCTTCACCTTTAAGACAAAGCTGAATCTTCAGGGTGGAACTATATTTAATTTCGTCTAATACAAGAAATTTTTACACTATATATCGGTACCATAATAGCTTCTATACGACCATTTTAGGGTCCGGGCTATAATCATGATCGGTGGTTGGAGACGTAAATCGAGTCGGTTACGTAATCACAGACCCATTTACGCTTTCCTTATTCTGAGCTTTTAGCTTCAATACTATTTACCCCCCTAAGACCAAACAGCTTTTGTCTATTAATAAGTCACTAATATTTATTTTCATAACATTGTACGCTAGATACCCCATAAGTTTTGATATATTGCTCAGTCTTACCATGTTTTCTATAGTTAATGATCAACACAATACAAAACGTGTTGAAGTCTTCACATTCACCTTCAAGCTTTTGGGTTTTTCAGAGTTTGGACCACAGTGAACCATCTGTACCAACTAAGTTAGCATACGTTGATTTTCGTCCATGGTTTAAAGGATGGGATCAACTTGACGTAAGTGATCAGGACAAATTGAAGGATCTGGTAATATTTAATTCTACTCATCAAATAGACCAATATCCAAATATCTAATGATCTAAAATTATCTTCTTTCATGAACTTCAAATTTCTTTGGATTGATGAATCTGGAGATATCTGGAAAAATGTAACATCTCTAATCCCACTTCGAGTATATACTATATCTCAGTAGCAGTTACTAGTCAAATTATTTCCAAACTATTTCCTTTTGTTTTGCTTTACCTATGGGTAATAATATTTTAACATGCATATTTTGTAATACCAGAATAAAACATTTTAATAAGAATTTGTGTTGTATTTTTCTTGTGTGTTTGAAATTTATGTAGGATGCTTGTACTAAGAATGATGAAATCTATTTTGAAGCTTCCATTTCTCAATCAAAATATCGACAAAGGGAACATATTTCTATTCATCTCAAGGGAACGTAATAATAGTATTTTACAATGTGGCTCATTTACTATATACCGATTTACATGCTCTTCTTTAACTCATACCGTTTGATTGAAAATAAGGCAACAATTTACTAAAGAAAAACATACATATTAGTTTACTCCCGATGGGTTGCTCATAATTTCATTTCTACTTTGTCCAACTTTTCGGAAACTACGTTAAGACGTAATTTTATTGTCTAGGATTGTCAAACTGCTATGAAACTTTATGTTTCTTACATGTAACAGTTAATGATAAAGAAATCAATGAAAGTTATGTAAGGCCCAATGAGTCAGTCAGTCACAACGTAGAACTTCGTACGTACGTACATTAGTTCGAGTTGCCATACCACATTAGCACAGAGATGGAGTTGTCGATTCAAATCCCATAGTGGTAGAAGTAGTAAGAGTATAAGCATTAATGTGAAAGATTAGACTATGGTGGATAAGTTTACCTACTAGGTATTACGATACTCTCAGGATTATTGGTTTGAACTTGAATCTACTCCAATCTGGGAGGCAGGAAATTATGATCAACCCTCACCGAATAAGTATTATTCAAGACTAAAAAGGTCTACTAGTTACCTACAAATTAAAAGCCGATGACGTCCTTAAACCATGTAAATTTGAGATGTCCCATTATGTAATAAAACAACGAGTTCCAACATATTATCTTGACATTCCGTACTGTAGTTATCTTTTATATTTTAAGCTATGTAAAAAAAATGGTTAGGGATTCTCTGGTCATGGTAATAAGTGTTAATCTTATGTAAAGGGAAAATTAGGATTTCGGTGGTATTGAATAATGAACAACATGTTGCCAGAAAACTAAAACAGTTTTATTTTTTTATAATCTTCATTTTTCGTCATTTCAGATGACTCCCAATGAGCAACAGTTTGAACAACGACCTCATCGGCCTAAAAGGGCATTATCAAAAATTAGTGACGTAAGTTTGTAATAATGTGATTAACTCAGCTAAAAGTATCTATGGTTATTCTGATTAATAGTCACATGCAATGATAATTTGCTAATAAGTTTGTCTCTACCGTGAGTTACGTTGTTCTAGACTTTTCGGGCATACGTTCTTTTGGTGACTCATTCCGATTATTTTTATTTAAACACAAACATTGGTACAAGGAGGCACCATATAGATATGCGCCACATAAATCATTCAATCTGTGTAAGGGCTGGGATACTGCCCCGGTGCACAGACCGAAGCAGGTGGTTTTCTTAGTATGCCATACCCCGAGCCTTCAACCTAAGGATCTAATCCATAAGGCAGTGGGGTAACGTCAGGAGATTCGGTCCCATGGTAGCCGGTGACCAACGATTGGTTCATACACCATTTATTCCCTCAGGATGCTGGAGCCCATGTGTACCATTGGTTTGGAAACATGGTTTTCCAACTCCCCTAGGTAGGCCCTCTGTGTCCACCACCCCGGTTAAAGCGTCGAACATTCGCTTTTCGTCCTCTCGATAAGTAGGACTTCCCTGGCAGTGATTGTATCCACATGGTCATGTGAGAGCATTTGGAGAGGGAGAGCTAACTCTCGCCACCCTCGGTCGTACCAGGGCATTTGGGGGCCATTCCACCCATTCGGGTTGGTCAAGTCTCCTTATAGAAGACTATTGGCCTGTCTGAACCTTTGCTTTAGCTCATACAGGAACATATTTGCATGCTAAGATACATGTTTTACAGGTATGACCATCACGACCCCGAGACCTTCTATTAGATTTACTACTGTTGAGAAGGTGAAATCGAACTCACGCTTACTTGGAAAATACTCATGACATGCACGCCAGAGGCATACAAGTTTGGTACTCAATTGCCCAAGTTGGTTCGTGATGCAGATACCCACGCACCACGAATAGCCTTGAATAGGATGTTGTCGTGTATTCCGTCTATAAAATCTTTTATCACTCCCATTTTGCATTTATTAATTCATTTGCTTGATGTTTTCATATCCACAAGTACATATCTTTCAATTTCAGATACATGAGCTTGTCTTATATATCCTATTAACTAAACTATAAGATTGTCTGGTTAAACAAGTTGAAATTCTTCTAGAATCGCTCATTACGGTTTGTAGGATTTTCTTAACAAAATAGAAACTGTTTTAAGCCTATGAAACAATTATTTTGGTGTTGGCGTGTGTTATGATTTCTCTTATAACAACCCATCTCTTATTGCTTAGTATTATTTAGACACTTTACTTCACTTGACCAGTCTCCAAATCAGAACACAGTTGAACAGGGACGTAATTATATTCCAAATAGACAAGGTTGAATGGGAGTAGGAATCACAATAAGAAAGACGTTAGTATATTTTTAATTTTACACAAGACTCTAGAGTCTTCCCCCAGTATCCGCCAGAGCTGACTGGGTAAGAAATGTCCAATCAGCGTACCCTAACGCAATCCTGCAAGGACCACGGTTTAATCTAGTCTATATCCCGCCAAAAACGTGTTATTATCGAGATCCAGAAGTGATGACGTATTCGGGATATGTAGACACGCTGTCAGCTGGTTGTGTGCTAATTGAAACGATCCTTGAAATATTCGTTTTGCTTAGTTCATGAGTAATAAATTACAAATCTACAGGAAAAATTAATAGTTCTTAAAAGTTTCCGAGTCTTCTGGTCGCATTAAGCAATACTACAAGCATGATCGGAGTACTTTTTCCTTCCTCAAAATGCGAAATCCTGCTGTTAGGCTATTCTGCGTTGACTGTGTAGGCTACAGGTTTTCAATTATATGTGTCTTCGGAATATTGTTTGGTTTTCATGAGACTGCCGAGTGATCCATGTTGAAGGTAAAAAAAAGTGACAAGTCGAATGTTGAGGTTGTAAATCCTTAATGACCAAGTTGGTTTAAACATGTTACATATGTCTGAACATCGCCCTGCCAAACAGGCAATTTCGGTGATATAGAAGTAGATTGAAAGAAAGCTTGTAGAGACTAAACCAAGACGTAGTATCAGTATATGAAGTCGTTGACTGTCGATTTGAGCCATGTTAGTTGATACAAGCTACTTGGTTTGGTTTGGCTTATCAACCACAATCACTGGTTAGCGACTGGTTGATACGATTCAGAGTCGTTCACAGAGGTGCATGTACATCCAATTCCTATCTTTCGACCTTCAGCCTCAGTATTTCTTCACACATACTTTTCCACTTTGTCTTTTCGAACTACATCCCCAACGTTCAATCTTTCTCATTATCACTGCTACTTTACTTGGATCTCTTTCACTATTCTTCTTGTTTTCACATCGTTGTACTAATGTAATGCGACATCCTTGACCAACGCACATCTGTACTTCGGTTATGGTTGACTGACCTACCAACTAATTATTTTACTCTGTTGCGACCTGGTTCGGTAACAAAATTTGGAGCGTACTATTCTAAAGTGTTATGACCTATACTCTGTCCATGTAAAATCCGATCTGTTTGATTTTCGAAGTTACCACAACTCTATTTTCAGCTCTCATTGTCTCCAAAAATTTGTCTCATTCGGTACTAATGCTTTGAAAAAGCCTGTGGCTAAACATTATATTGTTGAGAATGGTCGAGACACCGGTTTCATAAGTGTTATTGTTTGAAAATACTGGCTTCTCTATCTTAGGTTCATTCTACTCAATTGATCTTAGAGATTTCCTTATATAGCACTATTCGGTAAAATCGGTGTCAAGTGAAAGCGGAAAGCTGGTTATAAGCTGAGATGATGGTGGCTAGCAGTAAAATTCAAGACGCGCTTCTCGTCCTATTTGGGACTCATCAGCTTGCCACCACCATCTCAGCTTATAATGCTTGTGACTGAAGGCAGTATGGATGCAATCTGCACAGGATGCACATATGCTAATAAGAGACCAATCAATCGCAGTCCTGAGCATCAATTAAAAGATTCAAGCAACCAATACAAAAATGAAGGAAAGCTGGTTAGTTTATGACGTAACTTTTATGGCTGGTAAACATTTGCCGGCTGATTGCACCTAGCTAAATGTGAACCTGTTTATGATCCAACTCATTTGCTTGAAAAATTGTCAGATTTGGCTTACAAAATAAATCACGGATGATCCTGCCATAAAAATAATGTTACTCATTAGTCGCAAAATATATCTACATCCTAAACGAAGTTTTTCTTGATTGCATTTTTATTCAGACCGTATTTTTTTGGGAGTCTTGAAGTCTTTACATTGGTAAAGAACTTCAGAATTTTGCTTGATTGTGATATCCTTGGCGTTTTGATGCTCTATCAGAGTGTACATTTTGAGAATTACAATTTAGGAATCTAATACCTTCAAATCAGTTTTCGAAATCACTACTCTTTACGGGTCTCATCTAACTTTTTCTTAATTTTTAGGACAATGTTTTAGGGATTTCTTGGAAAGAAGAACAGGAATTACGCAAAGCCATGTATGTTTCTCTTAGAGATCAACAACAAACAAATTCGGATTCTAGTCCTTGCAATCACCTCATGACATTACGTTTCCAGTTGGTAAAACAACCAAGTATATCAGGACCTAGCAGTACGAAATTGAGCTTAGCAAAGCCACGGTCAACCATTCAGTTTAAGCATGCTAGAAAACAAATTCGCTCAAAATTTGTCTCTGGGAATACCATCTTTTCTAAAACTAGAAACGCTTCCGAGAGATCTCCAGATAAAGAAATATTTAAATGTGATTCAAACAGCAATAAAACAAATGTAAGTGGATGTTGTATGTGCCATATGTTTCAGCCTGGTTGTATCTCAGTGCAAGATGGCTTTAAGTTTCGATACTTTAAAACTGACTAGCGAAAAACCGTAGTGCAAATACATTTCCCTGTTGAACATTTTAAATTGACTATATCTTAAACTTAGATACATCCTAATGTTCACACACACTCTTCGTGATTATATAAAATCCTAAATGCAATTAAACTTTTGTCGGTACCATTCATTTGATGTCTCCCATTTTTTTAAAACATCTTACAGATTGAATCGACCTATGAAAATCACAAACAATATGTTGTAAATACTTCACAAAACACTAGCCACATTTGCTTACGAAATTTATACCATAGAAGAAATCCAACTAATCAAATTAATGTCAACAATCAGTTGATTGATAACGATGCTAACAAGCAAACCCTATCTAGTTCTGATGAAACATTTGAAGTGAACAATTTATCATCAGATCCTGTTTCATTCAACTATAGTCGACGTCCTACTTTGATGACTGCTTCAAATTACTTGAAATCAAATTCAACTAACACGAATAGTAATCAACGGTAATAAAATTATTCGAATAATTTTTCTTTCTTTGTGTATTTGCTAATCATTCTATAGTTAGCTTCTTCCAGAAGTATAGTCAATTCAGTTAATTTCGTTTGTTTCCTATTTTCATAGATCTTATTTTGAATATTTGAATGTATTCACTTTAAGTTAGAGTTCCTTCAGGTTCCCCGAATTCCCTGGTACGACCGAGGGTGGCGAGAGTTAGCTCTCCCTCTCCAAATGCTCTCACATGACCATGTGGATACAATCACTGCCAGGGAAGTCCTACTTATCGAGAGGACGAAAAGCGAATGTTCGACGCTTTAACCGGGGTGGTGGACACAGAGGGCCTACCTAGGGGAGTTGGAAAACCATGTTTCCAAACCAATGGTACACATGGGCTCCAGCATCCTGAGGGAATAAATGGTGTATGAACCAATCGTTGGTCACCGGCTACCATGGGACCGAATCTCCTGACGTTACCCCACTGCCTTATGGATTAGATCCTTAGGTTGAAGGCTCGGGGTATGGCATACTAAGAAAACCACCTGCTTCGGTCTGTGCACCGGGCAGTATCACAGTCTTCGCACAAATAAAATAAAATGACGATATCTACCGAAAATACTATTCTTGATTCGATCAAAGTTAAACAATTCACATTATTATTATTTACGTCTTTTATTCCTTATTTTTCAACTTATACAGCAGCTCGCCTATGGCTGAAACCCTGTCCTATCTAAACGATCTCGAGTCACTGTCTGGTCGAAAATTGAATGCTACGACCGAATACGAATACTAAAACAGTTTTTCTGAAAATCACGTACGCTGTTCAAACTGGCTTCCTTCAACGTTCACACACTTATGCAGATTGGACAACAGATAGGGCTGGCTATGTCTTTGGAAAGTCTTAATATGAACGTTTGTTGTCTATCCGAGACCCCTATTTAAGACTCTAGTGAAGTATTATAAATTCGCTCTCCATCTGTCTCTTCGGAAAGCTTGTTTCACATGCGTTTATCCGGGGACCCTGTGGTATCTTCGTATGTTCTTGCTGGCGTTGGTGTCGCACTATGCGCCAGAGCTGAGGCAGCACTAATCGGTTGGATCCCCATCAACAGTCGGTTATGTGCTGTTAGATTACAAATTTCCATAAAAGTGAGAAGAAATCGGCATGAAAAACGATGTCTTTTTGTCATCTCCGCCTATGCCCTTACAGATTGCAGCCCGAATGCAATCAAGGATGAATTCTACCACCAAGTAACTGTTCTTCAGAAAGTTCGTTCGACAGATATTGTAGTACTAGCCGGAGACTTGAATGTACAGTTCGGGCGTCTAGGTGGCCGATAGAGACTTGTTGGTTTCAAGATAGATAACGGGGACCGTTTACTGCAACTGTGCACAGACTACAACCGGTTTCAGGCTATCACTAACTTCCGACACAGTCATCGCCAATGTGCCACCAGACGTCCTCCTTCTGCATCCCACGCTTGGACTCAGATTGATCACATCGCGATCAGCTACCGCTGGCGTGGTTGTGTGCAAGACTGTCTCTCCTTTTAGAGTACCTATTTGGACTTTGATCATGCCCTGGTCTACGCCAATCTTACCTTACTTTTCAGTGGCCAACGGATCAATGTCAGTAAATTGGTTGCATTTTCTGTTGCAAGTAAGTATCGAACCGAGCTAACTTCTAGGCTAACTACCATCCCACCGAAAAGTATAGATTAGTATTAATTGCAACTGCATGACGCCATAAAAATGTCGAGTAAAGCCGCTTGTGCCTTCGCGAAATGTCCCGCTTATAAGCACTGGGTTTCTTCAGTCTCCTTACAACTCATCGAAGCCCGTCGGTCTACTACGGGTAACTGTGAGTTTGACCACAAACGAAGGCTGTTAAGTAATAAAATTGGGCGAAGCTTGCGTAAGGACTGAGAAGCCTGGTGGTCGGAACGTGCTAATGAGTTGGAAGCAGCAGCTGCATCTGGTAACTGCCGTAAGCCCTTCCGACTCATCCGAGTCACTGGAAGCAAGAAGTCTGGTGTGAATGAAACAATCTGTGAGGATGACGGGATGCCAATCACTAACATCCATTGACGTCTTGGACGATGGATGGAATTCTTTGAAGGGCAGTTCAACTGACCTGCTGCTCCGGCAACATCGATCAGATTGTCTCGCTCTCCATGGCCGATGACGACGGCTTCACCAAATAAGGCGGAAGTCCGCAAGGAACTCCAACTCTTAAAGCGCTACAAATCACCAGACCCCGATGACTTATCTCCGGTTCTTTTTAAAGATGGTGGTGACTTTCTGGCTAAGAAATTGACTGAGTTGTTTACAAAGGTCTGGGAGTTAGAGAGTGTTCCAACATCATGAAATGAGTCAATAGTTGTTTCTATCTTTAAAACGGTTCACGTCGTTCGTGTAACAACTATCGGGGGACAAGTCTATCTTCGATTACATCCAAACTATTGACTTCTGTCATAATTCGTAGACTGTTGAAAACCCGAGAGAGATCGACTTGCGAAGAGCAGGCTGGTTTTCGTTCTGGTGGAGGATGTATCTTATCATATCTTCACCCTCCGCCAAATGTTAGAACACCGTCATACTTATCGCAGGCCAACAATCGTAGTGTTTCTTGATATCAGGGCTGCCTTCGATTCGTTGGACAGGACTGTTCTCTGGAATTGTCTATTGAGCAGGGGCGTATCTGAGAGGTTTATTAACATCCTAAAATCTCTATATACAAACACCTCAGGTAGAGTGAGGGCATACAATCACCTTTCTCCATTGTTCCATTCAAGCAGTGGGGTTAGACAGGGTTGTCCAATCTCACCACTCCTCTTCAACTTTGCCATCGATGACATTCTGGAAACAGCTCTGATGGATGTAAATAATGCCGGTGTGGATCTGTTGCCTGGAGAAAGAATTCTCGACCTTGAGTATGCGGATGATATTGTCTTACTATGTGATAATGCCCAAGGCATGCAATCCGCACTTAATCAGTTGGCAATCAGTGTCCATAGGTACGGTCTGCGCTTTACACCTTCGAAGTGCAAAGTACTCCTACAAGGCTGTCAGGATTCTCATCCTGTACTCACCCTGGATGGTGAGCAGATTGAAGTAGTTGGGAATTTCGTGTATCTAGATAGGTGCATAAGTGCTGGTGGTGGCGTGAGTGATGAGATCGATGCACGTATAGTGAATGTCAGAGCGACTTATGCCAATCTGGGCCATCTTTGACGCCTTCGTGATGTTAGTCTGGCTGTAAAAGGCCGGATCTACAACGCGTCGTTGGGAGCAGTTTTGCTCTTTTTTTCTCATACACACCTTACCTTTGTTTTTCTCTTCCCAACTTCAATGTTTTGTGTGGCGCACTTATATCTGGTGCCCCCTTGTACCAATATTTATGTGTTTAAATGAGATAATAAAATATTATTATTATCTAATAGCACATGTCAGTCTTCATAATTGATGTCCTTATTAACTAATTGCTAAACGTCCTGTTGTGATTACTTCTCTAGCTTGGTCCTGGCTATAATTATTCCCCACTTGTCCAGTAATCGAACGATTAGGTCATGAAGCCGTCCTTGTTAGTGAAATAATATTGTTAACATTGAATCAACAAATAACCTTCTATACTCTGTAACCAAGGTCAATTTTTTCAAAAGTTATCGTTCCACTTCTAATACCGCTATATGTAGTACCGTTATCATTTAGTTCATCCTCCAGTTTCGTTTTTATTCATCTTGAATGAAGAATTTCATGCTGTACATTGTCTCAAAGTTTTTTATTTTATATATCTCGCAGGAAACCTGTTATTAAAAAAAGTCCTAATTCATCAACTTCAAGAAATAGTTCTTTCCGATCGGAGAACATTGATACATTCGCTACATGCAGCTCTCCGAAGAAATCGATGCACAGTTTTAAAAGAAGATCAAAACCACTGATTAATTCAGTCAGTCAATTATTACCTATTACAGGTGAGGTTTCCTTCACTTTTAGCTTCTTCATCTTCTTTTCTTTTCGTCTTATCATTTATTGCAAACGAAATAGTGTGCAAAACTTATGCCTCCATGTTGAAATCAAGCTTTGTGATGTACTTTGGCAAAGGGTTCTTAATTTTATTGTGAATTGCACTCGCTATTGTTCATATGTTCTAGCATTCTGTAAAGTTTCTCAATGGAGTTTGGTTGAGACAGAGTAATTAACATGAAAGCTACTTTTTTGTACTTCTAGAATACTGATTTCTTGTCATCAATTTTTAAGTTATTTTATAAATTCCAGTTTTTGTTGGTATTTTTCCCATCCTGTTCGTTGTTTGAAGTTATGATAACAGAATTCATACTACCTTTTATACGTGGTTTTTTTGTATTCTAGCGTTTCGGCTCCTTAAAGTTCTTTTATTATAAAGTTTAATGTTTGGAAGGTTGATTGTAAAGTTACGACGATAAATTTCATATCACTGATGTATGTTTTATCACTTAATGAGGTTTAGTTTTGGCTATTTTATATCATGTATATGGTAACATTGCAACTGCTTTTTTCCTACATATTATTTTGTTGCAGATCGTTTGTGTACAATCTGTTCCTTTTATAATTTGACGCTTAACTTGTTCTTAACCAGTCTTTATTTTGAAGTTCTTTATGTAAATTATAAGGATTTTCGTCTTTGGTTGCTGAGACTGATTTTGTTGTTGTGGTATACAGTAGAAAGACGGTTAATAGGTTATGGTTTCATTATGTTCTGGTGATTCAGTCCAGTGATGGTGATAAATGTTTTGAATTCAAGTGAATGATTTTATTTTTTAAATACTTATTCCTGAGAACTATTACAACTCATAGATCCAAATTTTATTATGGATAATACAACCCTTCAAAAGTTATCTTCAGAACGGTTACTTGGTCGGAAACCACTTAAGCCTTTATGGTGATATTTCCAAAAAAATATGTGGTTATATGACAGTCGTTTGCTGTTTCGTAAGCCTTGATGTGATTAATGATCATCTCATCACTATTTCAAACGACATTATCAGTGCTAACTTTATTAGAATAATCAAGTATACTTTCAAATTAGATTAAAGTCTAGGCATTATTCTTGTTGAACGGATAGTATAACACTGACGATAGGTCACAGTTGACTTTGTAACATACTATGCAACCTAACTGAACCACCTACGTTCTCGTAATATCTATTTATTCACTAATTTCGTGGTTTAATCATTCGAAATGTGCACGTTCTGTTATTTTTTTTATAGAACCTGATGAAAACACGTCTAAATGTTTTCCAAACCTTTATTGTGAAAATGATTTCCAGTTGCTTTCAAAATCACCATGTGAACCTTGGCGAGATGACACTGGTCGACTTGCTTCAGTGCATGATTTCATTAACTTTGTATGCTTTCACGGTAAGATTTGTTTGATGAAAGACAACACAAATACTTTGTTCTTATTTTTTAAATTAGACGTTGAATCTATCAATTATGAGATCTAAAATTCTCGCTCTCATGTAAACGGAGGAATTTTTTATACAAAAACTAAATCATAAGTCATTGACTCTTCATATGTTTAAATTGTCATTGTAAAACAGGATGTAACTTTTTGACCACCAGATGATCTGTACGTTCTTAACATTATACCTATCTTCACCATGCCTAAAATAATTATTAAAAGTGATGATTGGTTCACCTGTCTGAATTTCGCTAGTCTAAAGACATTGTTACCCTTCGTATCAACTTTCAGCATTTATTAGATACATATTTTCATGATAAAAATATCTTTTATGTAACTCATTGTTTTAGCTACTTCTGTCCTGCGTCTCTCTGACTCAACGGTATAAACACTCAACAACCACTTTGTAAATTAAAAGATCAGAATCTACACATGCTTCAGTCTGTGTACTGCAATCACCTCGTATCCACTCTGGTTTAGCGGGTAGACAATATGTTTTATTCAAAGTGTATTATAGAAACATATTTTCAGTAACTTGGTTGCACCATTTTACTACATTCACAAACAAATCTGTTCGGTTATCAATATTCAATTTTTACCTCTAGTAAAATGAAATGTTTAGTACCAGTAACTTTTTAAGTCGTTGTGCCTTTTGATTCTGCCACTTCTCCTTTGTAGTGTGTAGATGGTCTTCTCGTGGTTGTAATATATATATATATATATATATATATATATATATATATATATCATGGACTTTTTTTGATGACTGATTCATTAGCTTTTTTGTCACTAGTCAGTTTCCATTAATTTTGAAGTTTCATTTTGCAAAAGGATGATAGCACTGAAAGACTTTGTAGGTGATGACTCAAATTAGACTTCATATGATTTTTAGCTTCCTCATACTTTTGATTATCAGGGATGTTTTCGTCTCAGAGTTACTTTAATTTTCTTTCTGATTGCTTGCGGAGTGGAAATACGCCAATCATCAATGGTTCACAGTATCAGTTTTATAGACGGAATACTGGTGTCCGGTATGTAAATGTCATTTTCGCGTAACTATATTTTTATAAGACTCAAAGTTTTTTGTATCATACTAAACTAATAATCTTTAGTTTTTTACTTTTTGTCGAACAAAAGATTGCTCAATGACTGGAGATCCTAATACAGAATGGTTCGCTAGTCCCTACAGTATGCACAGTCTACCTGTGCCACGTACGTTACAAAGTAATCTAGGGCCATCTAACTCCGACCATAATAATAAAATGTATTCCAAGACCCCCAACATATCAACTCAGCGCAAAAGTTACGAATCTTCTAACTTACACCGTATTATCAACGTTGCAGATCGTCAATCTGTTAAACGTTCACCAGTCACTAGGTCAACCAGTTTATGCGTGGCCAAAAAGCTTGCATCTATTCAACCATCTCCAGCTGTATATTCTTCAAAATCACTCATTTCTTCACCTTTAAAAATGGGTGTACCTGATAATTGCTTTTTGTCCGATGGATACAAGCTTTGTGTCGAGGAAAATGAGTAGTTCGCCACAACTGCATCCTTTCAAACAAGTAAATTTAAGGTAAGTCTAAACTTTTTTATCCCTTATGAATACCGTTTTTATCTTTAAACCTACAAACCGTATCTCAGTTACGTAATTTTAGTGAATCAAAAAACTGCGAATCCATTATATGTAATTTGGATTTTACTTTCTCAATAATCGGACGATTTAGCTGTTCATTTGTCAACCTTGTAATTGTAAACTTAATCCACACTTTTTAAATGAAAAGCATTCTAGGCACTGCGGAAAACCGAATCGTCTGTCCGCTAATTATTGCATCCATAACATCCAAGTGGCTTTTGATTTTAATTTACGCACATATTTCTAACAGATTAACTTATCGAATTGAAAGTGTTTTTACGTAAATGAAACTTATTAACCATATTCCTCCATGTATATTTTACTGTTGACTACAATCATAATATGAGTGCTTAGGAATACTATCAAGCAATTTAATTCCTTTTTTCAATCCAGCGGCGTTTCACACTCTAATAAGTCAATATTTGTTATCCTATGTGTTCCAAGATATTTCGGTCAATTGCATATTATTATTAGGAAGATTAGCGGCAAGTTTAAGATGTTCTGAAACAGTAGCTTCGGAAATAAAGCACAAACTATCAAGACTATAAGTACTGATTTTCATTGGAGTATATCATCACTTATGTGCTAGTGAAATTCCAATATTGGCCACTTCTAAACGCTTATATCGAATATTTTCTCAAGTTTTGGAACCCCGTAAAGTGCTCTAGAATACTGGCTGTTTAAGATTTTTATGAACACAATACAGAATCACTTGACGTTCCAAACGTCTTTATAGCTATAAAAAGAACAGTCAATCCATTGTTTAATGAAAAATGCATAAAACTAAACAGATCAACCTCAAAGTCAATGAATGTTTAGTTGTTAAATTTTATGAAAAATCAGAATGAAAGAATACGTTTCAAAGACTTTATTTATTCATTTTCTTGTGCAGTTTATGACAATCATATACAATTAAACCAATACTAAATAAGTTTTGGGTTGTTATTCGTAAACCTGATGATTCTGCTCTAAATATTACCGTCTTCATAGAATTAGATACTTTTTACACAAAACTAGAAATGACATAATACCAGGTTTTGTAAACTCTGAATAGGGTTTTAATTACAGAAAATAGCTGGTGGATACTAAATGTAAGGTAGGTTGTGTATTCTGTTGTTGTAAGTTTGGATAAAACTTATTTGTTCATACTTAAATAAAAACAGTTTTCAGCGTTTAAAGTTTGTGCGATTCTTGACTTTTATTATGCTTATCTGTCTGATAATGATAAAATCACATTTAATGTGTGAATTTTGAAATTGTACTTAAGAAGTCACTTGATTCTCTAGTATATTTGATTGATGCTATTCTTGTAGAAATCGTCAATCGCACAAAACTGCTTTCGCAGTATTACATTTCGATGTCGAGACAGGTTATAAATATGTATATAGTAGTCCTAGTAGTAGTGTGGTGTAGGTTACTTATATCAACTTAAATAGTATGTATAGATGGTCGGGCGTAGAATGTATTTCAGTAGAAGATCAATAAGGAAAGAACAGGAATGGTACGCAATTGGTATGAAGGTGCATGGACAATGTAATCTGATACAATGGACTGAAATTTGCAAAAGGAGCAGTCAAGTTTGAGACGATGGGTTGTTATTTTGCAAATTAACTATTTACTATATGATTCTAAGATTTTAGTGAGATATTCTGTAATTTTGTGCCCAAATACATTCGATTGTCTCCAATCATGTTCTTGTTTACTACAGTAGCACTAGTATTCAGATTCTGAAAACAGCATCAGTTAGTGTTCAAAGATGAAGGAAGGGTTTATGTGTAAATTAAAGTGGATAATGACGACCAATTTGTGTCATTTGAGCTGTGAATTAACAAATCAATTTCCTTACCACCAAAAACGGATTTTTTACTCATTACATACTTTTCAGGTCAGTAAATAAGGAGTGTTTACAGTAGATTTCTCTCTAAATACTGCTTGGGTTCTATTATATTTATTCCCATAATCTCAGTCGTTAGATTCCAAGCGTCTGATAAAAGGTTTGATTTTCCTAAACAAACTAAAAGGTGGAATTAAAGTTGTAGTGTATAGGACTTTTCAGAATTCTCAATCCATCTTCACACCCAAAGATTTTCTGTCTTCTGTAATATTTAAAACCCATTTAATTTTGTTTTATTCTCACAATGACCCATTAATTTTCTCACTTTTGGAAGTATCTTCGCTTGATGTTTCCTATTATTACTACGTTATTCATTTTAAGTTGACAGACTTAAGTTTGAGAACTGTAATGGCACTCATGTATATATAGTAATTGCCCCCAAATGCCCTGGTACGGCCGAGAGTGGGGAGAGTCCACTCTCCCTCTCGAAATGCTCTCATATGGCCACGCGAATATATAGCCTTTGACAGGGAAGTCCTACTCACTGCCTTCTCGTGGCCAGGGTGTTGTTTACGAAATTGAGAGGACGAAAGCGAATGTCCGGCTCTTTAGCCGGGTTGGTGGACATGGCGAGTTCACTTGGGGGAGTTGGAAAACCCTCATTCCAAACCAATGGTGCACATGGGCTTCAGTATCCTGAAGGAACAAATGGCGTATGAATCAATCGTTGGTCACCGGCTACCATGGGACTGCATCTCCTCACGATGCTCCACTGCCTTGTGGATCAGACCTTTATGTCAAAGGCTCCAAGTTTGGTCCCATAAGAAAACCACCTGCTTCAGTTTGGGCACCTGGGCAGTATCACAGCCCTCACACAAACCGACTGATATTTGTGCGGCGCATATTTATCTGGTGCTTCCTTTTACCAATATTTATTTGTCTAAATAAATAAATAATTTATAGTAATTGCAACAACACTGATGGCGAAAAAGTAAGCAAAGATACAAAAAAGCTAATAAGAACAAGGGTCAGTGATTATGAAATCTACCCTCCACAGCCTGGATAAAAATATTGTATCTGACAAGTTTGAAACCACATCACATTTAGTTTCCACCTATTACATTTGTCCTCACGGTCAATAAGTATCCCTTGTTCAATGCAGCTTAGAACACCAATGGGTTACTTTATAAGTAGATTGCATTTTCGGTTTCGGCCATTCTTAGCACTAGCTTTATCCAATATTGTTTGTAGTGGGAATTCCTGCCTCCATATTTATTAACTTATTATTTTACGTTTGCTTTTCACAGGTATATAATTCTGATTAAGAAATGCTATTCCATAGTTAACTATTGTCATATACCTTTTTTCAATTCAATTTATTTTGTTCAAGGTTAGTATGTATTTTAATTACTAGCTTCAAAAATTAGAAAAGATCACTTCATGTATGCGAACTTGTTTGACAATGTAACCATTAAATTGACTGGAATATGCTTTTTTCTAACTACATTCAGTTTTTTTTGCTAGCTGAGTAGAAAAGCTACAGTAAGGTTAAAGGGTAATTAAAGATCCTGATAACAGATACTATTCTTGCAAAGTACATTGATTGGTATTACTGGATTATTTCATTTTACAAAGGAATTTTACTTGATGTATTTTATAATAACCGTTATTCTACGACTGTCACTTCGTATTTCACCTCATATTTTGACATAAAAATTTGGTATTTTATTTTTCTACATATTTTAGAGCATGGAACACTAAGTTGAATCTATAATATTCGTTATCATCAGTTGTCTGTTCAGTTCTAATCCATTCTTTGTATCGATTCTCTACGTGCTCATAATTTTAATAGAATTCGCAATAATACTGTGAAATGCATTTACTTTCCTAATTTTCATTAATTTACCTATTATGTTTATTCTGCTTTTTTAAATACAATATTTACTTTCGAATACGGATTTACTAACTTTTCTTTTTGGTGGAGTTTCTTGAATTCTTACTTAGTGAGCTATCCATATTGGTTCACTCTCTATATATTATTTTCCATCATTCCTACAATTTGTGCTAGGTTAGGCATCGAATAGTGTTTCTTGTTCAGTATATTTGTTATGAGCTGCCGTAAACTAACTGGTTTCTCTAACTTCGCTCCTTCATTTTGAGAAACGACCCCAGGTCTCTGAGGGCGTCTAGTGAAGTTATTCTACTCACTTGGTTGCACTGATCAGTGGGTTTGACATTTATCTTCATCGTCGTATTTCGAGGATAAGTGTGTGCATTCGTTCCAAAACAGTGAGTTTCTAGGATCAGGGACACAAGTCACCATGTGGTCTTACCGTTGGTTTGATTAAACGTCTTTAGATGGCAATCGAAAAGTTAAGGAAAACTGCAAAAATTGCAAGACTGCTGACCGGATTTCATAAAATGAACAAATAACTAGTAATTATAATCATAGTACTAAGAAACGTGCAACATCCCATCAAAGTGCTTGTCTTGGTTGACTTATTGTCAGTTCTTTTTAGTCTTAGAATACCGTACGTAAACATCTACTGTTTGCTAAAACTGAAACGAATGTACGTGCAGAGTACAGTTATGACCCACAAGTACTCTCAGGACAATTATTGTCTTAGGTGAACAAACTATAGAAAGTCTTTGGGCGAATGACAATAATAAAGTATTATAATTACTAATTAGTATGATTCTTACTGTCTTTCGCTTTAAAAAACGACCTATGGGTAAATCTGTCAACTGCATATGACGCTAACAGAACGGACCTACGGGATGACTGGATTTCTGTGCAAAAAAAAGAGTTGACCTAAAATCTTGTAGTTTCTTGAAAAAGGTTACCACTGGTTGTTAAATGATAATGTTTCAGGAGTATCAAGCATAGGCTAAGGCAGCCTAGTGACGTCCTATGCTCTTGTTCCTAAAATTACTCAAACAAAGACTCAAAATCTACTTCTTACTGTAGTCGAAGCTATAGTACTTGTTTGTATCGGTGACTTTATATTATGCGCCGATCGCTCCAGCAGCCTCGGGATCGGTGAGAGCTTCATCTTGAGGTTCTTCCACAAAAACAGCACCCTGTTTCCCATCTTTCCTCCATCCTCTGGGTTGGTACGGATGTTTTGGTCTACCTGTATCTTCAATGGTAAGTTCTTCCACAAAACAGCCTTCCTTATCTTGATATTATACTTATTTTTAGCATCATATACACAATGGTCGGCACCCTTCAGTGTAGTACTCAACTTCATCCAAGCCGGTCTTTTGGACACGCGCGCGTTTTGAAAATAGAAAATACATTTGCACTTGACTTAATCCTGCTCTTATGTTTTTATAGCATGCTAAATATACTTGATCTACTTTAACTCGGATTATTTTTTTCGGTCTTGGAATTCACCTAAAATCTGTTTTGCGACACTTTTTTTAATTTATTTTAACATTAGTGATTATCTTGTGTAGTTTTGTTAACTTTTCTCTATGTGTTTAAATTGTTGACTGTTCTTAAAAATACGGATAGCCAGACTACTTTTTCCAGTGATGAAAGGAATGTTATATGGTGACCGTGGATATTTATTCCGCAGGGGATGTGCGCGTTTAAATCTGACAGCATTTATACTATTTCTGGAATAAACTCAGGTATAGGATTGTTGACGACGTAAAAATGAAGTGGTCCCACATTTCGAATTTTAGAAACTTTTTAAGATTCAGTCACTTGGGAGATCAGGATCAATAGGTTAAACATCCAGCTCATAGTCGCCCAAACGTTCGAAGTTTCGGGTTACTGGAATTCGAACATTACCTAGTGGTAAGGCCAATAGTGTGTTGTGGTTTGTATTTTGTCTTTTATAAAATTTATGTCTTGGCAAGAAAAGCGACAGAAACATAGCAAGTGGTCAGACGTATATGGATATACCCCGTCAAATATAATGTTATCACTGGATATTAGTGGTTACGATTCTAAAGTAGTACATGAAGACCTATATATAAATTTCACTTCTATGAGTAGTCTAAATGTGACGACTGAGTGACGTGAAGTAGACCACAGTGTAGAACAAGAAAAATGCCATAAACAGCCTACAGAAGAGAAATCAAGGTAAGATCGAACAAATTTTAGACTACTGATCGGTCTTGGCTGAGGTACTTTTCGAGATGAGGTGAGTACAGCTCCCTCAGTAGACGGTTTCAAAAACCAAACAGACTGTCATCTTTGTACTCGTTGTTTGTCTTTTGATCGGAATAGCGATTAATTATACCTAGCAATCTGAAAGAATGTTCATGTTATTACTCTCAGCTGATGTATGCAACGACCGAAATACCAATGTTTGTTTTGTAAGCAGAACTAACGAACCAGGATTTAATCGACTAAGCCAAACTACGTTCTTCTGTATAACGTACAAAGCGTTTTTGAGTAACTTGTATTGAATTATATCAAACTCTGTGCGCAATTTAAAAAGTTTTAATTTAGGAAAGAGGACAAATTATATCAAGAATACTCCAAACGGTACACCTTATGCTTTAAGGTTAAGGGTTTCTCTAACACAAATTATCGTGCTAAAACAATAAAAAGAATATCACAAAAGAGTCCGGTATTTGAGAATCATCAAAAAGTTTCCCAACAAAAGAGAGTCAGATATATATTTGCAGAGGTTCCGGCACTCTTTTCAAACAGACGATCAATGGTTAACAGCCACAAACAGAACCACGCCGTGACATTGAGCTTAGTCAAACACGACCTTATTGTCAATAGTCTGACAACATGCAACAGAAAATTTAGGTAACCAAAGGTCAGTCTATAATTAAAGTTACATAATCAAAGCTCAGACAGAAAGACTGACGAACATAAAGTGTGGTTTAAAGATATCTGAATAAATGCTGTAATACACGACAGGAAGAAATAAACGAGTTGTTTCTCAGATTACTAGTTTATACCATAATTCAAACACTTCAAATTAATACTCTATCCCATCTGAGATGGATCTCTAATATGCAGTCGGGATTTATGTATGTATACACACTTTCGTAGTTTATTCTCAATAAGATATACTCTTTGGAGATCTCGTGGTATAGAAAGAATAAAGAGACGTGCCAAAGTTTACAAGCGGAACTGTTGAGCGCAGTCGAGTTCGTTCAAGGTTACAGACAACGGAAGAAAGTGTGTCTTCGGTACACTTAAACAAACAAGTACAGTAAAACAATCACCGGTACGATTGGTCATAATAATAACTGTTTCTATTATACCGATCGCGTTCTCGCCACAAAAGCAAGTCACCATGAGCCAATCAGAAGTATTTGAGGATTTCCAAGTCACGGCGCCATTTTCAGTACATGGTTCTAATGCACGATCGGTTCACAGAGGACTTTAGACAAGACGTGATAGTTTGACGGCTACAATAAATGGGACTGCTAGGGAAATCCTTTGTTTGCAATTGCGGTGATCAAAATGATTGTATTTTTTTATTATTTATTTAAACACATATATATTGGTACAAAAGGGCACCAGGTACATATGCGCCACACAAAATAATGAAAGTAGGTAGATAAAGGATGAAAAGATAAGGCGGGCTGAAATGTACAACCAGAAGATTCTTTCAGTTAGGAAAGTTAGAACCATTCTTTATGTAGAAAGTAAAAGAAGGTTGCAGCAGGATCGCCACTGGCTTCTATTCTGAGCCATATCCGATAACGTCTCTAGCCACTGTGTTGCACTATCTCTTGGACCCCAACCAGGGAGTCGTGAAGGACCAACGGAAGCTAGCCCTTTGCAGCTCTCTTTCATGCCACGACACCATGTCATACACTGACCTCCTCTCCGCTTTTTCCAACCAGTCCCAGGGTCGGCAAATAATGCACGACGTGGAAGTCTCTGGGACGACATTCGTAAAACATGTCCGAGCCACCGAAGTCGGTGTTTCAAGATGGTGACACCAATTGAATTATCGTCTCTGCGCCCGAACACACGATGCCGAACCTCTGCATTACTAACATGGTGTTGCCACTGGATGTCAGCAATCCTTCGGAGACAACGATGATCGAACACAGAGAGACGTCTAACATCCTCAACTCGGAGAGGCCAGGTTTCACAAGCATAGAGCAAAACTGCTCTCACCGACGCGTTGTAGATCCGACCTTTTACAGCCAGACTAACATCACGAAGGCGCCAAAGATGGCCCAGATTGGCATAAGCCGCTCTGGCTTTTATTATACGTGCATCAATCTCATCACTCACGCCACCACCAGCACTTATATAGCTACCTAGATACACGAACTTCTCAACTACTTCGATCTCCTCACCATCCAGGGTGAGTACAGGATGAGAATCCTGCCAGTCTTGTAGAAGTACTTTGCACTTGGAGGGTGCAAAGCACATGCCGTACCTGCGGACACTGATTGCCAACTGATTAAGTGCTGATTGCATGCCTTGGGCATTATCGCACAGTAAGACAATATCATCCGCATACTCGAGGTCGAGAAGTCGTTCTCCAGGCAACATATCCACACCGCCATTACTTACATCCATCAGAGCTGTTTCTAGGATGTCGTCGATGGCAAAGTTGAAGAGGAATGGGGAGATCGGGCAACCCTGCCTAACCCCACTGCTCGAATGGAACAAGGGAGAAAGGTGGTTGTATGCCCTCACTCTGCCTGAGGTGTTCGTATACAGGGCTTTTAAGATGTTAATGAACTTCTCAGGCACACCCTTCTTCAATAGACAATCCCAGAGAACAGTCCTGTCCAACGAATCGAAGGCAGCCCTGATATCAAGAAACACTACGATTGTTGGCCTGCGATAAGTATGACGGTGTTCTAACATTTGGCGGAGGGTGAAGATGTGATCAATGCATCCTCGACCAGAACGAAAACCAGCCTGCTCCTCGCGAGTCAATCGTTCTCGGGTTTTAAACAACCTACGAAGAATGATAGAAGCCAATAGTTTGGACGCGATCGAAAGTAGACTTATCCCCCGATAGTTGCTACAGGAACAACGTGAACCCTTTTTAAAGATAGGGACGACTATTGACTCATTCCAAAATGTTGGAACACTTTCTTGCTCCCAAACCTTTCCAAACAACGCAGTCAGTTCCTTAGCCAGAAAGTCACCACCATCTTTAAAAAGAGCCGGAGGTAAGTCATCTGGGCCAGGTGATTTATAACGTTTCAAGAGTTGGAGTTCCTTGCGGACTTCCGCCTCGTTTGGTGGATCAGTCGTCACCGGCCATGGGGAGCAGGACAAGCTGGTTGATGTTGCCGGAGCAGCAGGCCAGTTGAACTGCCCTTCGAAAAATTCCGCCCATCGTCCAAGACGTCGACAGATGTTAGTGATTGGCATCCCGTCATCCTCGTAGATTGTTTCACTCACACCAGACTTCTTGCTGCCAGTGGCTCGGATGAGTTGGAAGAGCTTCCGGCAGTTACCAGATGCAGCTGCTGCTTCCATCTCATTAGCACGCTCCAACCACCAGGCTTCTCAGTCGTTACGCAAGCTTTGCCCGATTTCATTACGTAACAGCCTTCGTTTGTGGTCAAACTCACGGTCACCCGGAGTAGACCGACGGGCTTCCATCAGTTGTAAGGAGCCAGAAGAAACCCAGTGCTTGTAAGCGGGACGTTTCGCGAAGCCGCAAGCGGCTTTACTCGCCATTTTCATGGCGTCGTGAAGATGCAACCAATGCTTACCTATACTTTTCGGTGGGGTGGTAGCTAGCCTAGAGGCTAGCTCCGCTCGATACTTACTTGCAACAGAAGTTGCAGCCAGTTTACTAATATCAATCCGTTGGTGGTGGTCAATCCTTCGGCCACTGAAAAGTAAGGTGAGATTGGCGCAGACCAGGGCATGATCAGACTCCAGATAGGTACTCCAAAAGGAGCGGCAGTCTTGTACACAACCACGCCAGCGGTAGCTGATCGCGATGTGATCAATCTGAGTCCAGGCTTGGGATGCAGAGGGAGGACGCCAGGTGGCACACCGGCGATGACTGTGCCGGAAGTTAGTGCTGGCCAGAAACAGGTTGTGGTCTGTGCACAGTTGCAGCAAACGGTCCCCGTTATCTGTCCTGCGACCAACAAGTCCCCATCGGCCACCTAGACGACTCTCTTCTGTGCCTAGACGCCCGACCTGTGCATTCAAGTCTCCGGCTAGTACTACAATATCTGTCGAACGCGCTTTCTGGAGAAGAACTGTTAACTGATGGTAAAACTCATCCTTGATTGCATCCGGGCTGCAATCTGTCGGGGCATAGGCGGAGATGACGAAAAGACACCGTTTCTCACGCCGATTTCTTCTCACTTTGATGGAACTTTCTAATCTAACAGCACATAACCGACTGTTAATGGGGATCCAATCGATTAGTGCTGCCTCAGCTCTAGCGCTTAGTGCGACACCAACGCCAGCAAGACCAGACGAAGATGCCACAGGGTCCCCGGATAAGCGCACGTGGAACAAGCTTTTCGAGGCGACAGATGGAGAGCGGATTTGTAGTTCTTCACTAGAGTCCTGAATACGGGTCTCGGATAGACAACAAACATCAACATTAAGACCTTCCAAAGACATAGCCAGCCCTATCTGTTGTCTGATCTGCATTAGTGTGCGAACGTTGAAGGAAGCCAGCTTGAACGGCGTACGTGGTTTCAGAAAGACTGCCTCAGTATTCATAATCGGTGGAAGCATTCACTTTCAACCAGACAGTGACTGGAGATCGTTTAGATAGGACAGATTTTCCACCAAGAGCGAGCTGCTGCATAAGTTGAAGAGTAAGGTTACACAAATTGGGGATAAAAGGGGGTGAATTAGCGATATGGTAAGTAATAATAATAATAATAATAATAATAATAATAAAGGTAATAATAATAATAATGTTAATTGTTTTGCTTTTAGTATGACCAGGGATATCGTCAATAAAGTTCATAATTTCATTCATTTGTTTGTGTGTGGGCTGTGATACTGCCCGGGTGCCCAAACCGAAGCAGGTGGTTTTCTGATGGTTTTTGTAAACCTCGAGCAGATTACCGTGGTGTTGTCCTTCGATGTAACATATGTTGGAGGAAGACGTTTGCTAGAATAAAAACCTTTTTTGCCCGATCCAGATTCAGACGAACGCATATCAGAATAAATGCCGAGAAATGTATAGATAAATGTATATATATAAAGTGTTGTTGTAGCCTTCATGTAAGAGTATATTACAATGAAAAACAATAGGTCGTGATACGTATCAAGGAACATTGGGTTAAAAATATGAAAGGAAATGCGAAGTCAGAATAAGGAAATCTGCTTACTAGAATGGAAGATGTGCCAAAAAAGGGTAAAGTGTTAAGAAACGCCAAAAATCATATACTTTATACCGTGGTTTCTACTCTCTTATTTCGACCTGAGAACAACCAGTCAGACAATGCATGTTATGGGCGTGGTAGTGAACTAATCCCCAGAGTCAATAGCTCTGTAAATATTCGACATTTAATGCTGATCGCATTAATTTGTAGTAACCTACTTTTGTGACGAGAATGCGATTGGTATAACAGAAACAGCTATTATTATAACCAATTATACCAGTGATTCTTTTACTGTACACTTTTGTTTATTATTGGTGCATTTATGCATGCATCTGCTCTAAACTTCAATGCTAAGGTTGACCACAATTCTTCAGACCGAAACACAGTATATCATATCGAATAATATTACAGGATGACCTAAAATCAGCTCCGCCTGTAGCTCTTCTAGAGTTACTGCCGGTCCCAAGCTCGTGTAAAGGAGGAGGGTTGGGCATGCGGTTAGCGACCCCATCCCGTAGAAAATCTAACTCGCTAAAAAACGCTAACCAGAAAAAATAATTCAAACCATTTAAACTCTGCCTTCCAGTTTCCAGGAAGAATGTTGACGTCTCATGATGGAAGCCGAAATCCTTCGGAAGTCACGAGGCCGATCCACTTCTAACAACCAGAGCAACACTCTGTATAGATACATGGAACGTCCGGACAATGTGAGAGACAGGAAATACCAGTCAAATAGCAATGGAAATGAGGAGATACAACTTGGCAGTACTCGGAATCAGCGAAACCCATTGGACCCAAGCTGGACAACAAAGGCTAGGTACAGGAGAGATGCTGCTGTATTCCGGTCACGTAGAGAAAAATGCTCCACACACTCAGGGAGTTGCTCTAAAGCTGACCAAAGAAGCACGAAATGCACTTGTGGGATGGGAATCTCAAGGATCCAAAATTATCAAAGCATCATTCAGAACAAAGAAGGAGGGGATCACAATGAATGTTATCCAATGTTATGCACCCACCAATGATAGCAACGACGATGATAAAGATCAGTTCTATGAAAGGCTGCAATCAATTATAGAGAAGTGCTCACGAAAATGGAGAGAGACTTACAAATATATGTGCATTCAACAAATTGGTTATAGGCGGCACAATATTCCCCCACAAACGCATACACAAAGCTACATAGATCTCACCGGACCACACCACAGAGAACCAGATAGATCAGATCTGTATCATCAAAAAATACCGAAGAACAATGGAAGATGTGAGAACCAGGAGAGGAGCTGACATAGCTTCAGATCACCACCTGGTTGTGGCCAAGATGAGACTGAAGCTAAAGAAACACTGGACAACTGGACAAACAACACTACAAAGGTTCAATACAACCTTCCTTCGAGATACTGACAAGCTCCATGAATTCAAGATAACTCTCAACAACAGGTTCCAGGCTCTACAGGATTTACTGAATGAACAAGAAACTACGATGGAAGACAACTGGAAAGGGATAAAAGAAGCACTAACTTCAACGTGTCAGGAGGTTCTGGGTCGCGAGAAACATCATCATAAGGAATGGATCTTTATGGGAACCCTGTACGTGATTCAGGAAGGGAAGAACAAGAAACTAGCAATTAACAACAGTCGAACACGAGCAGAGAAATTCAAAGCACAAGCATACTACGCAGAAGCAAACAAGCAAGTGATGAATAGCATTAAAGCCGACAAGCAGAAATACATGGGAGAACTAGCAACGACGGCGGAAAAAGCTGCAAGAGAAGGGAATGTGAAACAACTATATGATACAACGAAGAAATTGGCAGGAAGATATAACAAACCAGAGAGACCAGTCAAGGAAAAAGAAGGAAAGACAATCACTGAGATTCAAGAACAGAGGAAAAGATGGGCAGAATTCTTCGAGGAACTGCTGAATAGACCAGTCCCATTGAATCCACCGAACATCGAAGCAGCCCACACAGACCTTCCAATAGATATCACTCCACCAACGATGGAAGAAGTCAAGATGACCATCAGACAATTCAAATGTGGGAAGGCGGCAGGACCTGATAATATACCAGCAGAAGCACTGAAGTCAGACATTGAAATAACTGCAAACATGCTTCACCTTCTATTCAAGAAGATTTGGGAAGAGGATTAAGTGCCAACGGACTGGAAAGAAGGATACCTCATCAAGATACCAAAGAAGGGAGATCTGAGCAAATGTGAGAATTACAGAGGCATCAGATTGTTATCAGTACCAGGAAACGTTTTCAACAGAGTGCTGCTGAATCAGATGAAAGACGCAGTAGATGCCCAAATTCGAGGTCAACAGGCTGGATTCCGTAAGGATAGGTCGTGCACAGACCAGATAGCGACACTACGGATCATCGTTGAACAATCAGTTGAGTGGAACTCATCACTATACGTCAACTTCATTGACTATGAGAAGGCGTTTGACATCGTGTACAGGAGAACATTATGGAAACTTCTTCGACACTATGGAGTTCCTGAAAAGATTGTCAACATTATCCAAAACTCATACGATGGACTACAGTGCAAAGTGGTGCATGGAGGGCAGCTGACAGGTGCATTTCCAGTAAGGATCGGAGTCAGACAAAACTGTCTACTCTCCCCATTCCTCTTCCTTCTAGTGATTGACTGGATTATGAAGAATTCGACATCTGAGGGGAAATACGGAATACAATGTACTTCTCAGAATCAATTAGATGATTTGGACTTCGCAGATGACCTAGCCCTCCTCTCTCATACACACGAAAAAATGCAGATGAAGACAACAAATGTAGTAGCAGCCTCTGCATTGATAGGCCTCCACATTCACAAAGGATAAAGCAAGATTCTCAGATGCAACACGGAGAACACCAACCCAATCACACTTGATGGAGAAACTCTGGAAGAGATGGAAACATTCGCGTACCTGGGGAGCATCATTGATAAACAAGGAGGATCGGATGCAGATGTAAAGGCAAGGTTTGGCAAAGCAAAGACAGCATTTCTACAATTGAAGAACATATGGAACTCAAAACAACTCTCAACCAATTTCAAGGTCAGAATCTTTAATACAAACGTGAAGACAGTCCTACTGTATGGAGCTGAAACGTGGAGAACTACTACGACAATCATCAGAAAGGTGCAAGTATTTATAAACAGTTGTCTACGCAAAATACTCAACACCCATTGGCCGGATACTATCAGCAACAGCGTTTTATGGAAGAGGACAAACCAGCTTCCAGCTGAAGAGGAAATTAGGAAAAGACGTTGGAAGTGGATCGGACTTACATTAAGGAAATAACCAATGTGCATCACGACTCAATCCCTAACTTGGTATCCGGAAGGGAAGCGGAAAAGATGAAGGCCAAAGAACACATTACGCCGGGAAATAGAAGCAGATATGAAAATGATGAATATTAACCGGAAAGTACTTGAATGTAAGGCTCAGGACAGAGTTGGATGGAGAATGCTGGTGAGCGGCCTATGCTCCTCGACGAGGGGTCACAGGCGTAATTAAGTAAGTAAGTAAGTAAATATGACCTAAAATCACTTCAGACCGAAACACAGTATATCATCTCGAATAATATTACAGGATGACCTAAAATCACTGGTTGGTGTGCAGGTGTTCGTTAGAAGTTAAGTTTAATAAGATTGTGGTGATGCAAATGAATAAATGCGACAATACTTATCACTACACATTATGCGGGGTGTCAAAGGCTTCAGAGTCATACAGGCTATTAGTAAACCATTTCAGTATTTGAATGAAGAAATGTTTAGGGTATTATACCCGACATTTCTGAGGCTGTATTTCGAAAATAGGACTCAAGCGGCGAGTCTAAAGATGCTTCAGGTATTCGGCGTTTGACAACGCCTTGATCAGTAACACCTTCCTTAATCGGAATATACCAACCCTGTCAAATCGGAAGTCAGAAGCGAAGAGGCTGGAATATATATTCGATAGAATATTAAAATGTCGAGAAAAGACAAATCTAAGCTTACTGGTGGTTGTAGGGGAAGTGAATCACGGCGTACTCACTCGTGATCTGGTACGGATACATGGCTGACCGCCTTCAGCTAGGTGATTCCACTAAAATTAACGCGGTCAGCATCAAATGTCGAAAACTTACAGAGCTATTGGTTTTGAAAATATATTTACTGCTTCAGCTCACTCTCCTCCTAGTGAGGCAGTGATGGCCCTATGATGTGCCCGGCCAGAAGTTTTAATTCAACTAGTTTGTCCTTGCTAATCACTCTTTTGATTGTTCATCAGCATCTAGTCATTTTTCCTTATTTTGCTGAGCCATGTTTTACAATATAGGAAGAAAAATTTCGATTCATCGTAATGTTCTTTAGTTTTTCGTGTTTTCCAGCCATCCTTGAACGTAGAAATAGTTATATCAATGTATTTCAATTTACAGTCGTATGTGCGTAAACACAATCGGGGAAAAAAGGAAAATAATCTCATATACATGCGTTTTGTAAACATGCTATAGTGTGAAAACCATTTTTGCAGAATAATTTTTTTGGTTTTCATAAAATAAAAATATACACACATAAGCAAGCCTACTGTATCCTAAATTATATCTTATTATTACCATGCACTCATTATCTAGTCGTAAGATTTTCTGACACTAAACAACGTGTTACACAGCCAAGAATAATTTTATGGGCATCTTTATCATCACATGAACTTATTAGGACACCGTCACCTACCTTGAGACTGTTCAATCGCTCATTATGATTTTGTCTAACAATCAACTAATGTGTGGAGACATAGAACTTTGAATAGTTCACTTATGACGAAAACGATGAGTAGCAATATTCGAAAAACTGTGGATTTCCTTCACAATATGCGTATTTTTAACGATCCAACGAACGATACAAGAGGAACGACTGAAAATCCAATATTTCAACGCTAGCACAGACCACAACACAATTCGACCAAAGCCTGCTTTTTTGACACAAACCAGTACGCCTTTTCATATCGGTTATGAATATTCTTTGAGTCACTCAGAGTCAATGGTGGTAGCTTAACGTTAAAAGAACACGGTTACTTGATTGTCCGTTGTATCACTAGATAATGGCCAATAATCTCGGAAAATTTAGAGTAACCCAAAAAGAAGAGTTGACGCCTCCTAAAAATAAATTTACGCAATATGCCTAATAAATGGTTAAAAAATAGAACTTTATATTTAATTACAATGTTACTTTCGGTAGTGTAAAACACCTCTCCTATTAAATATATAATACATCGATACAGTTATATCGATTGCGCGCGTGCGTTGTTGCTCAGTTGATATATTTATGAATATGCTGAATCCGGCCAATGAGAGAGGAATAAATTTATTGACCGCACAATGATACACAAAAGCAGTATGAGCAGTCTTGAGTACTTATCAGTCCGACTTGCTGCCTAGCCCAGCCAGTTAAGTCCAGAACACCAATAACAGCCTCTGCAATATGAATCATCATTCTCAAACATACTAGGTTTATATACCAATCAAACAGACCACATCGTACCATAAAATTAAAATGACATGTCTACAAGATTTGGCCAAATGTGGCTGTGAATAGGGGGAACAGTAATCAATAGACTGGAGGAAACTCAAGAATGGTAAATCGTATAATAATAGTCCATAGGTCAAAATAAAGCTTATGATAAGAGGAACGCGAATACGAATAGTTTAGTTACTTAGCAATTATACAATAGTAAATATACATATCACATTGGTCCATAAATGATTCTCAAAGTTACCATTCATAAATCTCCACGGGATATAACAGATAATAAAAATCCTACTATAGTGGTAAAGGTTCCTATGGTATAAAACAACGTACAATACAGTTGAAATTGTTTGTAACTCATATCTTATCACAATGTGAAGAAATTAAACCTCGAAGAAAATAGCGAGTGACATTATACTGGCAACACCAGTGATGATGATGAGAAGGAAACCTCTCACAACAAGTATAGAGGTGAGCAACCGAGTGGATTACTGGACTAAGAAAAGAACCAGATGACGATTAATTGCGCCGCCTGGAACTGTACCTTCCAAGTTACAGAGTAGTACGAGGCGATGTAATAATGATGTTCAACATACAAGACACTCCAATTCACACCAGCGAGATAATCTTACCCAAATATTATAATTGGATATCCCAAGATAACTCGCAACAAATTACTCACGATGTCTCAATACCCAGGAGAGAACACAATGTTTTCAGTAGGGATCGACCTCGCTAGGGATGTTATCCGAACCGACGTGAACACAGACCTTAAAGTTTGTGTATTTAGTAGGAAGCACAACAACCACGCACGCGCCCACGCTTTACCTAACTTCGTCAGTAACAACTGTACCCAACGCTTGTCCCATGACTTACAATTACCACCACAATTATGCCTATAAAGAATACTACCATAAGTGCATGGTAACTGCTAGGACTTATTTATGGATTTTACGATATATATATATATATATATCCCTATTGTATAACCATTAAAAAAATAGGTTATATATACTATACGCTTTACTATTCTCAAGTTATTCCCAATTTATTAGTTACAGTCTCTCACACCCACCGTTACTTTTGAACAAATCTTGTATAACTGTTCTTTTCTATTTTATGTTATGATGCGGTCTGATTTGCTTGTATATAAACTACGTCTCTTTGAAATACATGATTCACATAGCGGAGGCCGATGTTGGTCCTTGTAAAGAATCTCCCCACCTAAAGATGATCTTAAAAAGCTGAAATTCTAGCTTAGAACGCCTAACTGTTATGAAAGTTTTTGGTTCTTCACAGCTACGGCATCCAGGAATTGGAAAATGAATCAGTGACCTTAAAACCACATTCAACAAAAATGTCTCGTGTGCAGTGAAGGTCGCAGTAGCCGCAAAAAAGTGTATGTTAAGGTTTTCTTAGACGTTTTAGTGCGTTCTTGGCTTATGAGAGCCGAATTTTAGTTCTGAGTCTAGCTGAGGCGACCACCATCGCATATAGGGAGACATGTTTGAGACAGAAGGATGGAGAAGTCTTCCGCTATGAAATACTTGGTTTGGTTCAAAGTGCTCTGGTGAGAGCCTTGTTAAATAAGGCCACTTGTAACGTATATCTTTAAATGTCTTTAATTAAAGTATAAGAATGAGCTTCGCATCTAGATCCTGATAATGAATTAATATAGTTAGTAAAGACTGAGTTCTGTGCCTCATATCTGAAAGTTGCAAGTTGTGATTAGGTTTAAAGACACGGTTTGTTCTGGAGGTTATGCCACCTTTCGGAGGCTGATCGTTGACTGAAGACCCTGGTTTACAATCTGGACGGGGTTTGTGATTATCAATGCGAGTATATTGTGCAACATTCTCCTGTGTCGCCATATGGTTGAGAGGGAGTTCCAGGGTACGATATATGGTGCTAGCAGCTGGCCTTCAGGTCGATGTGTGTTATTGAGGGTAAGCTTAAAACCGCAGGCTTAAGAGATAGTTTAATCGACGGAGTTAGTATCCTGTATATCTGAAAACGATTGCGTTTGTCTGTTGATATTTCACATTTTAGTTGTTCACCCCTTGTGCTGTCGGAAAATATGGCAACTAAAACGCTTCAGCTTTTGAAGCATAAAACGACGAGTTCTATTTTACTAGTCGTCTTAGAAAATGTACCCTAGTAGCTTCATGTGCTTTGTTAAATTAAACAGTCAATGGAAATAAAAGGTCGTTATCTGTTCATTTCGTTCGACATTATTTGACCATGTGCTTCATTAGGAATCTCAAGTTAAAAAAATTGGTATTAAAGCGAAGGGAGAAAGTGGATAAATATTGAAGGTTCGTTTAAAAAATCTCTAAATAATATGGTCCAAATGTGCCAAATTACCTTGATAATTAGTTTAACTTTTCTATGCATCCTCGAAGAATAAGTTATAACCGCAAAGGGTCAAGGTTGAATGGTTTTTATAGAATTCCAACTGACGGTCACATCAAGACATGGAGGTAAGTATTCGGGTGCTTCGATCACCTAACGTACCTTAAAGTCTTATCAGTCGTAGTGACTTAGTGTAATCTCGGCATGGATACATGAAGCTCGTTTTGATGTGATCAACTTATACTTATAGTTCAGGCCAGCTGCTTATCTGCCAGTTAGTCATAGGCAATGTTGAATCTTGCCTCACATTAGTTCAGGGAGATAAATTTACCAAAACAAATTCCAGCTTGGTAAGATTAGTAATATTATTAGTGGTAATAAAAAAAAGACTAGGAATAGGCAGTGTGATTCGAGAAAGAATGAATTTGCGGCATAAAAACAAGATAAATTTTAAACTCAAAAACTAGAGGGGGATAGAGCAAATGCCCTTACGACCTTGTTACCGATTCCTAGTCACGTCACACCTCAGGCAGACTGAGGACACGCAACAGTCTCTCTTCATTGTCCTAATTCAGGATTAGGATTGGACGGGGCTGCTCAATCTCATCATTCCTCTTCAGCTTTGACATGGATAACATTCTAAAAACAGCTCTGACAAAAGTAGATAGTGATGGTGTTGATCTATTACTTAGAGAAGCACTGTTTGATTTTGAGTATGAGGATGATATTGTCTTACTGTACGATGATAATCAACCCATGTAAATCGTACATTATCAGTTGACAATCAGTGTCCGTATGTATGGCACATACTTTGAACCTTCTAAATGCGAACTTCTTTTACAAGACTGGTGGGAACATGTGCCTACACTCACTTTGTGGTAATCTGTTTAAAGTAGTCGAAAATCATGTATTTGGGTAGCTGAGCAAGTTCTGGTGGTGGCGTGAGTGATAAGATCATCTCACGTATCGTGAAAGCCAGAGCGGCTTATATCAATCTGGACCATCTTTGGCGTCTTCGTGATATTGGCCTGGTTATAAAAGGCCGAATTTACAATGTGGTGGTGAGAGCTGTTCTGCTTTATACTCGTGAAACCTAGCCTCTCCGAGTTAAGGATGTCAAACGACTTTGTATTTGATCGCCTTTGTCTCCGAAAGATTGCTGAAATCCATTGGTAACACTATATTAGCAACGCGGAGATGCAGCAATGTGTGTTCAGGGATTGTGACAATAATTCGATTGGTGTCGCCATCTGGAGACACCGACTTCGATGGCTTGAATATGTGCTACAAATATTGCCCTAGAGAAATCCACATCACCCAGTGCTTGCTGATATTGGAACTGGTTGGGAAAAGCGGAGAGGTGGTCAGTGTATGACATGTTGTCATGGTATGGAAGAAGGCTGTACAGGACTGGCATCTGTCTACCCCTCACGACTCCCTGGTTGGGGTCCTAGAGATAGTGGAACACAGTGGTTTCGGACATGATCAGACATGGTTCGGAATAGAAGCCAGTAGCAGTCCTGCTGTAGTTTTTGTTTTACAATGTTCATGAAAGTGAGGGGAACTTCTTTGACTGAAAAAATTCTTTATCTGAGCCATGTCTTTTATTATGAACTGCTATCTTTAACTTATTTTTCATTCATTTATTGATTTCTATCATACTTTCTCTCTTTTCTATCTCTTCACAATTCCATTTACTTATTTATGTGTAGTATATTTATTTAGGTTTCTACTTGTGCCAATATTTATATGCTTAAACAAATAAATATACATGACACAGACAGAACAGTGAATAATTGACACGGTTCGAACATATCATATATGCTTAGTCATCACGAACATTGGTGTATGTTGACTAGCGGATCAAATAGAAATGGGGATAAAAGTGGTCAATTCAAGACTATCAAGTCATTGATTACGATACTGAACTATTCAACCAGATGTAAGATTCTTGACTGAACTATGCTAACACTTGGTAACTTAGGGTTACAGTGGCATACGTGAATTCATAATTTATTCTAAACATGTTTACTCTTCACTGTTTTTGTCAACATAGAATGTACTTTATGGATATTTTCTTGAGAACTTTTCAAAATCTGCTTAGGAAAACATGAGGTAAAAAAAATTAGAAGACTATTAAACGTATCGAAGATGTGAAGTAAAACCAATAGGTGTCAGGTCTGATATTACTGCTCATGTATGGATTATATGGAAATATATTTTAACATAAGCACTATGACGATAGTAAATGATACTCAACTGGAAAATGCACTCTTATTGTTGGATGAAATAAAATCGAATGTACATGTATGATACATAAGAGGATTTTACAACAACCTTTCCTATTATTTATACATAACAATCATGATATTTTATCATAACAAGAGTTACAAGGTGAATGAGTGAAAAGAGAAAAATGACTGTTAATCCGAATACCCATTGAAAATGATTAAATACTTTGTAAAAAATAACATCTATTTACAAGAATAAATATCTAATATCTAGAAAGCGAGATTAAGAACTGTAAGACGTTAGTCACTAAGTATAACAAGGTAATTGCTTTTAATTTTTACTTTCCCTTATATTTGGGTTGCAGTATAGCTATATACTTTTCATTTGGGGTATTCATTCCTCTCCAAACAATACCGTTCAGTCTTATTCTTTTAGCCATCATCTTAACTACTACTTCGACGGGTTTAGTATTCATTTTATGAATTTCATTTCATTGTCCTGAGAAGGCATAGTGAAGCTTGCCTACATTTATATTCATCAAGTGGAATTACTAAAGCTTGTTATACATACCTAATATATCGTTGTAGTGTTATGATTCGTTTTTGTGACTAATCTACTAACCTCCTTGATATACCAAGTTTTTATGTTATAAATCTAAATGATTATAAGATTGTCATTTTGCTTTTGGAAAATTTTGATGATTTTCGTGATCACAGGTATCTTTTTTTACAGATCAGCCCCTCATTATTTATAATTCATCCACTATGGGAGGGAAAAAAAAGATGACTGCCCATAAACCAAGAGTTAAAGAAAATTCTAAGCCTTCCAGCAGCGACAAGGCGACTAGGTTTTTGGTTGAACAGACTGGAGGTCTAGGGGTATCTTTAACATGTCTTTTGGATACGAAATTACAAAGTGTCAGGATTAATTCCGATGAGCTGAAAACGGAAAGTTGTCAGGGGAAGTTAACTGGGTTCGTTCCTATCCTTCAAGATCCAGATGCATCAGGCCTGGATACACACCTTCTAAATATTTTAAAACGTCTGGAAAAGCGCGATTCGGTTACTAAACAAAAGGCATTACGTGAGTTTTGTGAACTTCTCAAACCTGAGTCAAATAAATCTGTATGCATTTCTGTGAGTACAAGCTCCATTGTGACTGTTTTACCATTTTGGCCAAGAATTTACCATCGTCTTTCGTTTGATGGAGATAGGAAAGTTCGCGAACTCGTCCAAGCAACTATGCATGCACTTGCATCTCGTGTTGGCAAAGATTTAGGCCCATACCTAAAGCAGGTAAATGTTATCATCCATAAGTTTGTACCATTTCAACGTAATTTTTAATGATCGTTTATGATCGATAAATGTAATTTGTTGTTCATAATGGTCACCACAGTAATATGTGACCATTCTAGGACCTTTATTTACTAGCATCTATTTAGGTTACGCTTACAGATGTCTTTATATAACCCCAGTTGTCATTTTATTAATTTATTTTTCCTCCAACTATGAAGGGATCTCAAATGAAATACTTATTTAGTTTTGTTATACTTAATCACTTCATGTAACCACACCTAATTTGACATGACAGGGGCCCCAACGTAGTTAGGCTACATGTGGGTAGTATTTAGACATTGTTTCTACTTCAAGCAATTGGATGAAGGTAGAGTGGTCAGTTAGTGTACAAATACAGTGGTTAGTGGTAGTTAACAGAAAAAAGTGAGCAGACATGCTCTGGAGTCCGAGATTTTCAGACGCATCTGATAATGTATTTGTTTGCAATGTTCGTCCCAAAACTTTGTAACTTTCAAGACACTAAGTTTCGTATATGGATGTTAAAATCCACGTCAATAAAAATGAGCTGTGGCGCATTTCAGTGTTCTTTATCGTTAAGATATTTAAATCCATGCAACTCGTTAACCAAACGTAAAGTATTTTCTAACTGATATATGAGCCATAATATAAATGAAGACGTTAGAAATTTTACCTTGACAGATATTTAAGAAAACAATGAAAACTTGACAAATAACCGACTTGAACTCTTGCTATTGGTAATTGGATTAGATTAGTCTCTACTTTTTAAGATATTAGTTTACTGAATAGCATCTATATTTATTTTGGCTTATATGATAAATGATACTTTTTAGATTGTTCCAATATGGACTTTTTCTACAGTTGATACCTATGAGCCAGCAGCCCTATTTGCTAATAAAGGGTTGTGTGATACCTTTCCTGAGAAGAAACTAATAGACGTTCACTGTCTGTGCTCTAAACAACTCTTAGATATGGTTGAAACTCAGTTATTTGAACTAACACGTAAAAGATGTGCAGATACAGAGTCATTTTCCTCTTCGAAACATTGTTCATCCATGAAGAATGATGACAACCCTGTGGGAAATACCAGTACGGAGTCATCGTTTTACTCTTTTGACTTTTCATCAACGTTGCGCTTCTTGACCTCTTTTATTGGTAATCTGATTCATCTTTCATCAGATCACAAACAACTGATTCGCCTAAAAATGTTGTTATGTCCTGAAGGTATTTGGGATAAAGTGGCACGTTGTTTAAAATCTTTAAGGAGCGAACAAAATCCTAATTGCTTGGATCAATCTTACGGGACAGTGTCTGGAGCTTGTATCGCTGTGTATAGACTGTGTTCAGTTTTGTGTCGTAATCCTTCTTGGTGTCGATGGATGAAGGAAGCAAGTGATGGGAAGGCTCTTGGTGAATATATCAGTCATATAACAGTTGGGTCACTGGGTGTTACTTGTATACTACTTGAAAATACATATACCAGTAAGTCAGCTGATATTCCTACTCCTTTTGAGCTCGGCACTGGTGTGTATTCTTCACTGTGGGATGCGGCTTTGGCTTGTTTAACTGGACTATCCGGTGAATTTGTGTGGTCTGTCGTGGATTGGAATCAAACGTTTGTTACGAGATTGGAAAATCTTCTTAATTATTCCGAGAAGAATCAAGCTAAACAGGTTAATTAAACAGTGTTTATTTTAAATTGAAATTGTGACAATACATCCTTTTTTCTAGGCTACGACAGAGGTAATTATATTTGATCTCTATTTACAATTCAGTGATAACACTTCTCAGTCATTATCATGTGTTGTTGTGACCTTGGTCTGTCCACTGATTTGTAGTTAAACATGCAAAAAATCCGTCTCGAATCCATTTGATAACCTCAATGCGTTAGGTTACTTAGCATAACTGTGAAACTGATTGCATGAGTCGAACTTATGACCGATTGGTCTTGAAAGTAGAAAACTACCCTATTCCCTGACTTATGATCCACTATAAGAGCACTGATTAGGCGACAAACGAAGAGAGAAAACGACTATATTAAAAATTTTTATCTGATTATGTCGACTCAAAAGGGACCTCAGCGCACAACAAATAAAGGGAAAATATGTGCCGAAATTGAGCATTTGGAGTACAGAGATAGTATGCAAGGTTTGCTTTTAAATTACAATAAATTTGAAATCGAAGATATAACAATAGGTTATGGATTAAACGAGAACATATGATTCAAGGAATAAGGTGGTCACATAAATTAGATAATAATAATAACAGATTATGATTTAGACGAACTAATGTCCCGAAAATCATGCCTCATAATTTGTCATTTCCTCTTCACTCTTTTCTTCACAGCATATGTTCATTTATCTTGTTATGAAAATGAGTTATGTTTTAACGACAGATCGGTTTTAAACTTATCACGTGTATGTAATTAAAGCCTTGGATTTTTTAAGCTATATCTTCCAGCTGGTGTTTTCCATGTAATTACGTTAATCGTTAAAAAATGTCTCGAAAGTAAATAAAAGGAAAAGCAAACAAGTAAATAGTAGTAATAATACTTCGATTTGTTTTTTCATTAAAACAGGTCTGTCATATGCTCTGAAATGTTGTAAACTGTTAACACTACATTCATGTAATAAACAATTCAAACTAAATATAATTACACCAGTAGAATGAATAAATGAGGTTTCAATTAGATAGTGCTTTTCAATCTTCGTTGTTCTACGTTAATTTTAACGATGAATCTTTAACACTTGAAATTTGTATGATGAAAATTTTTTGACATTTAAGGGTGTTTGTTGCGAAGGTGCAGACGTCATAAATTACTAGGCGTACCTGAGAGTTTGGTTTCTTTTTTTTTTGAGATCATCTACTTGCAAAAAGTGTGTCCACAATATAACGGTCAGGAATTTCATCCAATAATCAACTCTTAATTTTATTGGAGAGTAAGAGACTTGAAAAATCATCACCTTTAATCACTTTTATCTTAAATAATAAATAATTATATTTATCTTTGTGTGTAACAACGTTCTTCTAGCTGTTTGTCTTGAGTTTTGATCTCAGTTTGCGTCGATACTTCAATCTCGTGTGTAGTTATGGGTCAGTCACACCGTACTATTGCGTATTGTCTATCACTTAACGATCTATACTTTACAACACCACGAAACATCCGCATTCATTACAATTGTTTAAACCTCTCCATAACGTTGAATGTGTCTTAAATATTAGGGTTGGTTTTATACTGGCTTTATAACATTATACCTATTGTTCAATATGTTCAGGTTCGATAGTTAAGTTTTAAACTGAATATCGAAGATTAAAATCATTAATTTATAAAGCTATAAGACAAGATTAGTGTTATGAAACATAAACTAAGATTTAGAAAATTCATAAAAACAATAAATTTACTGCTTAAGGTTTTACATGCTTCGGTTTGTTTTTCGACAAAACAGCCTTTTTCGTTTTTGATTTCATTTCGGTCTCACTTTTCCTAAATGACAATCAGAATACTCGTAACTCATTAAATCCTTATGTGTCCACGTTAATATTATTTTGATGATTCCAAGGATCTCCAGGCAAATAACTGGTAAATGCATAACTAAAAATTTTTTGAACTCATTTTTATTTTTTAAAAACACCAAACAAGTGTTAACACTCGTAATCCTAATTCGTTTTTAATTTTTAGGCTTATACACATTTACTTTGTCTTGTAAATGAATTTCCTCTGGATTATTCTAATCTAAAAATTCATGAATTGGAGATATTAGAAAAACTTTTTATTGACTCAACTTTGCTAGGAATACACCGTTCACTTGGTTACACACCCGTTTCAGATAGTGACTACAATGAAACTGGTTCGTATCTTTCAGACGATCCGGATGTATCCGTTGTTATAGCCACGGGGACTCTGGAATGTGTAAGATATTTTATTGATCGATTACTAACACCCATGGGGGATGAGAACAGAAAAGAGGTTCTTTTAGCTAAAAAGTTCTATTCAAAGGTCCTTATGCGTCTTTTTTCTGACTGTCTTATTACACATGCACGAGTCCATACCTCTCCGCAATTGGTTTGCAGCCGTCCACCACTCTCCAGGCAATCCTATTTAAATATTGTTTTCAATCAAGTGAGTTTTCATTTTTTGTTTCTCCAATAAAAATTTTGGTATATATATATATATGAGATCGTTTAGTCCTAACTGACTGCAACACTTAGAATAGGTTATATTTGTTGTTCAAGTTGGCTAGTCAGATCGTTTTTCGGAAAATCTTGCCTAGTATTAGTAATATGTTAAAATCATAATGTTAAGTCTTTATGATAGTGACCACATTTATTTTATGATGGACTTCCTCTTAGTGGATTCCATATGACATTAAAGTTTAAGGTTATTAATTTAGTCTCGCTTCAATTAACTTGATTTGCTCAGGTCAATATCTCTTAACGTCATCACTATACATCCCACCATACAAATGTGCTCTGCTAACGGATTTACCTGCTTCAGTCTGGGCACCTGGGCAGTATCACAGCCCTCACACAAATCGAATGAGGTTTGTGAGGCGCATATTTATCTGGTGCTTCATTGTACCAATATTTATGTGTTTAAATAAATAAATAAATAATACAAATGTGCACGTAAATAATGAGTTATATTTATTTTTCTTCATTTTGTACTTCTTACTTTTACTTAGACTGCAAAGTTTTGCAATAATATTGCTCAATCTAATCATCTTCTAAAAATACAAATGTATGATGAATTAAGAAATACTTTGTTCAGATGGATTTCCTTAGGACAATCAAACGAATTCTCAACACCAACCATTGATGTTGGCAAAGTGGATCGTATGTTTATTGGAATTGTTGATCCGTTACGATTAATCAGCTTTATAAATCATTTAGCTAAATCCAGCAACCAGAAATGTAACCGTTATATACCTAATGATTCAAAAATTTCACAAAGAGTAGATAATAAAATGAATCACTGTGATTTAACTGTTACTGTGCAAACAGAGTGGTGTATTAATCTATTTCACAGTATTAGTGATATACTACTAAATAATATAAATGCCAATTTGTCTGAAGACAGTCCAAATGATAGTTTCTATATTTTGGTATTCTTATGCATCTACGGCTATCTTCCTTTGAAATCTTTCTCTGCTCCATGTATTCTTCGAAAAGTATTTTCTTCACTTTTATCTAAACTACCTAATGAAGTGCATGCAATTTGTTGGTCCTATCCAGTTATACAAGGCTTAGCCAAATTATGGATTCTTTCTTCTGAAAATATTGATAGTGAACGAGAAATCCCCAATAATTCATCGATTTGCTTATTATTCACCAATTATATACTTCCAGTACTGATTCAGTCATTACCAAGTCTAAGGAATATTTTCGATTCAGTCAATGTTTGTGCAAAATTGTTATCAAATCGCATTAGCGACACTTTATGTTTTTGGGCGCAGGTATGGTTTGACAAAGTGGTTAGTAGTGATGAAAGTCCTTCAACAACTGTAATATCATTCATGAATAATCTACATTCTTTAATAACAAATTCTTTCAATCACATATCAAGCAGTAATAGTAATAATGATTGTAATTCACCTGAGATGATTATTCCTATCCAGTTGTTTGAAACGTTGTCTACCTGTCTCAAACGACGCTATGCAAACGTGTTATTCTGCGATGATGCCAACTGTATTGTCACTAATGCATCAGAATTAAGAATTATTGGAAGTTTGTTAATTCATCTGCTACATATGATAAACAACAACAATGTATTCAGTCCATCCTGCTTAAATTATCATTATTTACTGCTCACAAAAATCCTGTTTTGTTCATATAGCATTAGCGCTTTCGTTAAAATTAACGAATCTCCAGATGCTTCTTATTTACTAAAATCTAACGTAGATGATCATATTTTACCTAATGACAATCACCATGCGTACAATTATAATGATGGTGATAATGATGTTGTGTTTAATTTAAAAGAATTAATTAACTGTTCAGAGGTAATTATTTTAAAACGATTAAATCTTGAAGAACTAAAAGATTGTAATGAGGAAGGCTTCTTTATTCAATTCTCTAATCTAATTTTCATGAATACTGTTTCTTCAAAATTTATCACCCCATTATTTTATCATTTTGTTTCTCGTATTTATTCAGTTGTACATGATAAACTAAATTTTTCATCTTCTGTTTCATACTTTTCTATGCTCTGGCTAAAATATCTAATCAAACACGTAAAACTTGTTTTAGAAGCAGTTGTAAAGATATATCCTTTGCCCGAGACATTTTTTATTTCCCGTCATCTTTCACAAGATCACAGCATATGTCCGTTATCTGTATTGCCAAATTTTGGTCAGTTAGTTCGCTTGCATCAATTGGGTTTATTATTACGTCTTCCTATACAGTTTATGTCATTCGATAACGACGTTTGTTCAACTCAATATTTATTATGTCTTGGATTTATACGTGTCTGGATATCAAGCTTTCGTGAGCCATTGGATATATGTATTGATATTGGTTGGTCTTCAAATCAAACAGATTTAAATGTAGTGAATGTAAATGGTCAGCTTGAGAACTTTGAGCCATCAGTGTCTGCATTTGAAGAAAATCGAGTCCTGCTTGTTAAAACGCTGGGTTCATTTTGGCATGAATTTACAGCTGACTTTCCACTTTCACGCCTCTTGAGCTTATCATCACCAAACACTTTGGAATACATTGCTGAATCAGAGTCCCAAGCTTATCATATCTTACAGTCAACAATAAATAGCTTGTTATTGAATCGTTTACGTACTATACATCCAAATTTATGGCCTCTTGATATCAAACTTGCAGCTAGTTGTAACGATGGTGATATTCAAAACTTAACGTGGACTGACTTATATTTACCGCTTAATTCATCAACAGAAAATATTTATTCAGATAAAATACGGTTTAATACGTGTATTGAGCTTTATTTACCTGCAGGTGTTATTCGTCGTTGTCTGTCAAGACAAGAATTACTCGGTCGGTTAAAAAGTTTATCCTTATCTGTTGGAAAGTACAGCTTATCAGATTTAAGCGATCACCACTTAAAAACTCATGAATATATCATTGAGTTGATTTCAAGTCTTGCAAATGTTCGTGCAACTGCACCTATTTACCTCACAACATTTTCTTCTATTATTTTAGAGGATTATCGAACATGGTTAGCTAATTTAACTGCTTCTGCTACGGAGAATAAAAGTGTATGTTTACAGTCACCAGTAGTCTTTAATATATGTCTTTCAACAATGAGTTACCTTGAGTGTTTATTATTGTTGTGGCAGCCTTGGCAATGGAGCGCCATAGAATCCGAAAAATCTCCAATATCTGTTAGATTGGGTCTCGTTCAGTTAAGTATGAGAATACGTCAGTTAAGACCTTCTTTATCTGTTGAACAATGGGATTTTGTTCTTTGTTTAACTTTGAGTTGGGTCTGTTCAGTTGTTCATTATTTTTGTGGCTCATCTAATCCTGATGTCGAAAAAACTTTATATAGTTTACTTGGAACTCGAGTGTTTCGAATGTCTGCTGCACTTGGTGCAATATTTATTGAGCGTTATTCACATTTACCTCTATCGGATTGCATCATTTTAAAGGAAATCAATGCAGCTAAAAAGGTGATTCAATCCGACAACATGGATTCACATGATGCTGATGAGTGTGAGGATGAAGAACCTGTAAATGAGTTTTTTGACGAAGAAGAACATGCAAAAGCGTTCTCTGACATTCAGTGTGATAGTAATGACCAATCTAAAAACATTCTCTCAGAAAGTTTGAATATAGACTTCGAAGAGGAATTGGAGACTGATATTAATCAGATGGGTATAGAAGATGCCGATTTAGATGATGAAGAGTATATGTATCGTGTTTTTGCAAAAGGATTACCCCTCATACCTCGTCGAGGAGATGCACCTCCACTTGTTCGAAATGACTGGGAAAACTTTTTTGCTCCTGACCACTACTCCACACTACTGCGACTTGTTTTAAAGAGCTGCATCCCATTGGAACATAACAAATCTCAGGCTGTCCTTGATACTGATATTCACATTCAGGCTCTGTGTGCTGCGTTTGCCACTTGTCCTGTTAATCATTTAATAACTGCATTCAGTAATCAAACTTCATTGGTTTTTGAGTACTTGAGTGATGTTCAATTAAATATAGGTCAGCCTTGCTTGATAAGTCAACTCTACCCCTCTAAGATTGGGTCTGTAAATGATTTTACTGTTGGATTTCGTGCTAGTCTAGATATGGCTTGCAAGCTAGTTTCTTACTCTCCTCACCAGTCTGGTCAACTCCTCGGTTACATTTTATTAAATAGACTCTCTGGAACTCGTGTGCTACAAGGCAAGAATAAAACTTCGATATCTATAGCTAATTATATGATCCGTCGTATTCCAACCTCTTGGATGTCGGCTTTATCCGGACTGTTACCTTCTTCTATTGAGAAGTATCTGCAAAGTGAGGTGGCTGCCGATCACTGGGGTCGCGGTAATTCAAGGTTGTTGTACTTACTTGATTTTTCTACTTCTGGCTGGACAGTTAAATGTCAAACTCATCAAGCTCTTCTTGGTTATCTGTTAGCTTGGGATAGTTTATTAAGCCTAATGACTTGTGCTGGACCCCAAACTCGAGCTTCTCTACAAAACTCCCTGTTGAGTTCATCAGCCACTATTTTTGATAGGTTCATGCTTACAATCGGTTTGCTTCTTCCACCTTCAGGAAATCTAGAATATTTTATAAATAATTCTTGTAGACTGGAACCTGATGAACGCCTTTCACTCCCTAACTCAACATCTCGTATATATCTTACAGCTGCTTTAACTGTATTTTGTTCACGTCGCAACAGTAAACGTTCTGTTAACTTAGTAACACCAGTTTCTCCCGGTGATAGTGAGTGGCGAGATGCTTTTTCTCCTGATGACTCGCTTCTTCTTATCCCTGGACACCGAGTGGCAACCGAAATTAACCACTTGGCGGTGAGGCTGTTTCGTCGTTTTCTTTCGGAAGCTCCCGCTTTAGTTCGTGCATGGCATACTCAACTTACTTCTTTATCTAGCTTCCCACAAAGTGTATCTGAACAAACCAGTCCACTTGCTGTCCACCGTCCTGGTCGTTTACGCCAATTAGCTGGTACCATTGATAAAATTGTGTCGAAATATTTCTCGCCCAGCCTAGCTCGAGACGAAGTTGTTTTGGTTCAGTATCGTTCATATCTCCGATTGTTAAGCAAAGAACGGAGTTCTTCAAAGAGTCTATTCTCCATGCTTAAAAGTTCAGCTGAAGTTGGAAGTGTTCGTATAAAAGGTCGTCCTTTATCGCGAGAAGTAAGTGTGCATTATTTATACACATATTCACTCACCATACTTTTAAGATATGTTTACAAAAAAGAATATGCAATAAGTTGTCCGCTATACCAAAATACCGTTAGGAAACATAATCATAACCTAATGGTTTTAACTAAAGATAACCATTTTTATTTTGAAACAGTATAGAGATCATTTGGTAAACTATGAATATGCTTACGTTAGCTTCTTACGGAATTATCTTATGTTTAGACTAGTTTGTTTCCTGTAAGTTTGATACAAACAACATTTAACCCATATAATTCCTTGAAACAAGCATTCACCAATTACCTTGTTATACTTAGTGACTAACGTCTTACAGTTCTTAATCTCGCTTTCTAGATATTAGATATTTATTCTTGTAAATAGATGTTATTTTTTACAAAGTATTTAATCATTTTCAATGGGTATTCGGATTAACAGTCATTTTTCTCTTTTCACTCATTCACCTTGTAACTCTTGTTATGATAAAATATCATGATTGTTATGTATAAATAATAGGAAAGGTTGTTGTAAAATCCTCTTATGTATCATACATGTACATTCGATTTTATTTCATCCAACAATAAGAGTGCATTTTCCAGTTGAGTATCATTTACTATCGTCATAGTGCTTATGTTAAAATATATTTCCATATAATCCATACATGAGCAGTAATATCAGACCTGACACCTATTGGTTTTACTTCACATCTTCGATACGTTTAATAGTCTTCTAATTTTTTTTACCTCATGTTTTCCTAAGCAGATTTTGAAAAGTTCTCAAGAAAATATCCATAAAGTACATTCTATGTTGACAAAAACAGTGAAGAGTAAACATGTTTAGAATAAATTATGAATTCACGTATGCCACTGTAACCCTAAGTTACCAAGTGTTAGCATAGTTCAGTCAAGAATCTTACATCTGGTTGAATAGTTCAGTATCGTAATCAATGACTTGATAGTCTTGAATTGACCACTTTTATCCCCATTTCTATTTGATCCGCTAGTCAACATACACCAATGTTCGTGATGACTAAGCATATATGATATGTTCGAACCGTGTCAATTATTCACTGTTCTGTCTGTGTCATGTATATTTATTTGTTTAAGCATATAAATATTGGCACAAGTAGAAACCTAAATAAATATACTACACATAAATAAGTAAATGGAATTGTGAAGAGATAGAAAAGAGAGAAAGTATGATAGAAATCAATAAATGAATGAAAAATAAGTTAAAGATAGCAGTTCATAATAAAAGACATGGCTCAGATAAAGAATTTTTTCAGTCAAAGAAGTTCCCCTCACTTTCATGAACATTGTAAAACAAAAACTACAGCAGGACTGCTACTGGCTTCTATTCCGAACCATGTCTGATCATGTCCGAAACCACTGTGTTCCACTATCTCTAGGACCCCAACCAGGGAGTCGTGAGGGGTAGACAGATGCCAGTCCTGTACAGCCTTCTTCCATACCATGACAACATGTCATACACTGACCACCTCTCCGCTTTTCCCAACCAGTTCCAATATCAGCAAGCACTGGGTGATGTGGATTTCTCTAGGGCAATATTTGTAGCACATATTCAAGCCATCGAAGTCGGTGTCTCCAGATGGCGACACCAATCGAATTATTGTCACAATCCCTGAACACACATTGCTGCATCTCCGCGTTGCTAATATAGTGTTACCAATGGATTTCAGCAATCTTTCGGAGACAAAGGCGATCAAATACAAAGTCGTTTGACATCCTTAACTCGGAGAGGCTAGGTTTCACGAGTATAAAGCAGAACAGCTCTCACCACCACATTGTAAATTCGGCCTTTTATAACCAGGCCAATATCACGAAGACGCCAAAGATGGTCCAGATTGATATAAGCCGCTCTGGCTTTCACGATACGTGAGATGATCTTATCACTCACGCCACCACCAGAACTTGCTCAGCTACCCAAATACATGATTTTCGACTACTTTAAACAGATTACCACAAAGTGAGTGTAGGCACATGTTCCCACCAGTCTTGTAAAAGAAGTTCGCATTTAGAAGGTTCAAAGTATGTGCCATACATACGGACACTGATTGTCAACTGATAATGTACGATTTACATGGGTTGATTATCATCGTACAGTAAGACAATATCATCCTCATACTCAAAATCAAACAGTGCTTCTCTAAGTAATAGATCAACACCATCACTATCTACTTTTGTCAGAGCTGTTTTTAGAATGTTATCCATGTCAAAGCTGAAGAGGAATGATGAGATTGAGCAGCCCCGTCCAATCCTAATCCTGAATTAGGACAATGAAGAGAGACTGTTGCGTGTCCTCAGTCTGCCTGAGGTGTGACGTGACTAGGAATCGGTAACAAGGTCGTAAGGGCATTTGCTCTATCCCCCTCTAGTTTTTGAGTTTAAAATTTATCTTGTTTTTATGCCGCAAATTCATTCTTTCTCGAATCACACTGCCTATTCCTAGTCTTTTTTTTATTACCACTAATAATATTACTAATCTTACCAAGCTGGAATTTGTTTTGGTAAATTTATCTCCCTGAACTAATGTGAGGCAAGATTCAACATTGCCTATGACTAACTGGCAGATAAGCAGCTGGCCTGAACTATAAGTATAAGTTGATCACATCAAAACGAGCTTCATGTATCCATGCCGAGATTACACTAAGTCACTACGACTGATAAGACTTTAAGGTACGTTAGGTGATCGAAGCACCCGAATACTTACCTCCATGTCTTGATGTGACCGTCAGTTGGAATTCTATAAAAACCATTCAACCTTGACCCTTTGCGGTTATAACTTATTCTTCGAGGATGCATAGAAAAGTTAAACTAATTATCAAGGTAATTTGGCACATTTGGACCATATTATTTAGAGATTTTTTAAACGAACCTTCAATATTTATCCACTTTCTCCCTTCGCTTTAATACCAATTTTTTTAACTTGAGATTCCTAATGAAGCACATGGTCAAATAATGTCGAACGAAATGAACAGATAACGACCTTTTATTTCCATTGACTGTTTAATTTAACAAAGCACATGAAGCTACTAGGGTACATTTTCTAAGACGACTAGTAAAATAGAACTCGTCGTTTTATGCTTCAAAAGCTGAAGCGTTTTAGTTGCCATATTTTCCGACAGCACAAGGGGTGAACAACTAAAATGTGAAATATCAACAGACAAACGCAATCGTTTTCAGATATACAGGATACTAACTCCGTCGATTAAACTATCTCTTAAGCCTGCGGTTTTAAGCTTAACCTCAATAACACACATCGACCTGAAGGCCAGCTGCTAGCACCATATATCGTACCCTGGAACTCCCTCTCAACCATATGGCGACACAGGAGAATGTTGCACAATATACTCGCATTGATAATCACAAACCCCGTCCAGATTGTAAACCAGGGTCTTCAGTCAACGATCAGCCTCCGAAAGGTGGCATAACCTCCAGAACAAACCGTGTCTTTAAACCTAATCACAACTTGCAACTTTCAGATATGAGGCACAGAACTCAGTCTTTACTAACTATATTAATTCATTATCAGGATCTAGATGCGAAGCTCATTCTTATACTTTAATTAAAGACATTTAAAGATATACGTTACAAGTGGCCTTATTTAACAAGGCTCTCACCAGAGCACTTTGAACCAAACCAAGTATTTCATAGCGGAAGACTTCTCCATCCTTCTGTCTCAAACATGTCTCCCTATATGCGATGGTGGTCGCCTCAGCTAGACTCAGAACTAAAATTCGGCTCTCATAAGCCAAGAACGCACTAAAACGTCTAAGAAAACCTTAACATACACTTTTTTGCGGCTACTGCGACCTTCACTGCACACGAGACATTTTTGTTGAATGTGGTTTTAAGGTCACTGATTCATTTTCCAATTCCTGGATGCCGTAGCTGTGAAGAACCAAAAACTTTCATAACAGTTAGGCGTTCTAAGCTAGAATTTCAGCTTTTTAAGATCATCTTTAGGTGGGGAGATTCTTTACAAGGACCAACATCGGCCTCCGCTATGTGAATCATGTATTTCAAAGAGACGTAGTTTATATACAAGCAAATCAGACCGCATCATAACATAAAATAGAAAAGAACAGTTATACAAGATTTGTTCAAAAGTAACGGTGGGTGTGAGAGACTGTAACTAATAAATTGGGAATAACTTGAGAATAGTAAAGCGTATAGTATATATAACCTATTTTTTTAATGGTTATACAATAGGGATATATATATATATATATATATCGTAAAATCCATAAATAAGTCCTAGCAGTTACCATGCACTTATATGTCCGGATATGACACCTGTGGTTGACGGTGACCAAGAGCAATTTTGTACAACAGTTTTTCCCTGAGGTTACTGAAGCCCATGTGCGTCGTTGGTTTGGGGTCAGGACCCCCCTAACTCTCTTTAGTGTATCCACCATACCTACCTTATTTCAGCACTTCTGTATTGTATAGCTTGGTAAGTCATACCATTGACTGTGATGAAAATGTGTACTCAACATATTATTTTAGAATATTTACTGCTTTAAATAAACGCTATTGTAGTTTAAAATTTTCATCACAGTACTTTATGTGTATATTTTGTCAATTGTCGCAAAAATACCGTAAACTCATCATGTGTTTAGGCACAAATAAAACACGTTTTATACAACTTCGACCGATTCTCTACAATACAATTCAGTTTTATTATGCAAATAATATTAAGTTGTTATTAAACAAATTCATTTAGATTATTGCCACGTATTACGTGGGAGATGATCATTCGATGGAAATGGTAATCCAGTTGCCAAACAACTATCCCTTAAGTCCAATTACTGTTAGTAAAGGGCGTAGTGTCGGTGTGGGAAGTCAACAGTGGCAGTCATGGCTTTTACAAATGTCTGTTTTTGTTAATAATCATGTGAGTTGATAAAAGTTTATTCTTATTTTGTGTATTTCGATATAATCATATTCTAGTGAACCATTGTTGATAGTGTCTCATTGGCATTTTCAATTAGTCAGGTTCATAGATATTTAGCTGAATTTAGTGTCAAATCTATAATATAGACCGTAATCTAGTTCTTTCATCTGAAATTGGAAGTGTCTCCTTCAATTATCATCTTAAGTCCCTTATGGTGTGATAGATAATTATTTGTGAAGACCTAGTTATTCCTAGTGTAATAAACTTTCACTAGTTAGTTCCATAGGTAAAATGTGCCTAAACTAATAATCAACTCTGTATAATTTACTGAGTAGAATAGTGTTTATGCAAGCATGACAAATAAAAACATCACATTTTGAACTTCTCTACATCGTGTTAACACGATGGGTTCCGACATTTAGTCTTCATTCAATATACCAGAGCGTTGATTGTGACATTACAGCTTATAAACAGCATTCCTCAACCACACACGTGAGCTCGATTTAGATATCTTAAGTTTATTGTTTTTGATTGAACACTATAACCTCACCTTTCTGCTGACTACTGAAGAACTAGTTAGAAAAGAGTGATTTTCGGGGACAAAATGAAAGTAGGAAAAAAAAGGAAAATTCAGATTCTATAAAGTAACTTAGATAAAAAGTCGCTTCAAACTAGCAGTTTAATACACTCATTCCATAATTCTTAATCTGGAATCGGGTTGTTATTATTTGTATTGAACATCCAAATTTAACGAACTTTTATTAAACAGGTTTCATGATTGTCAATTAACACCATTAAAACTATATATTATCTAACCTAACTCTCTTGAATTGAATTAGTATTTTTGCCTCTCTGTGTTGTTTGCGTCATTTAGAATGGATCAATTTTAGACGGTATCGATTTGTGGCAAAGTAATGTTCGGAAAAAATTCGATGGTGTTGAAGAATGTGCAATTTGTTACTCGATTGTTCACAACACAAATTTCAGTTTGCCTAAAATGCGATGTCACACGTGTCGTAAACTATTTCATTATGCTTGTATGTACAAGTGGTTTACAACTAGTCGAAACCCTGCTTGTCCATTGTGTAGACACTTGTTTATTGATCCAACCGGTCGTCCTATGTCAACATAATGGGTAAAGAAAATTCTTATGATCAATGCGGCAAGAAAATGTAGTACTTCTAATTAATCTGAATTCAATGATTATTTGTTTCATTCATTCACCATAAATCTTGTTTTTTGTAACATTCGAGAAGAATTACTCTTTTTATTTTCAAGTAGTCATTGTTATTATTATCATATTGTTATACTGTTATTATATTGTTTCTGAACTGTTCTGTAGAACGTAAACTATCTGAATTTTCATTATGTTTAATGTGAATGCAAAATGATCATCAACCTTCTTTATGGCGAATTACTTTTTGGGAAAATGTACAAATATCTCAGGAATTGTTCTTTTAAATCTGTAGTCTGAATAACATGGAGTCGAATTTAACAATACTTTCGTTCTCTTTATTATAAATAGCGATCAATCTTCTCTGAGTGTTTACACGGATTTCACTCAACTGATCTGTGCCAAACCTATTTTAGGGATCATTAAATTCATTGTTCTAAAAAATTAGTTGCACCTGAGATTAGAACTAAATATCACACTGAGTTAGCAGTCAACTTACTGAAAAGTGTACGTAATTATTAGCTTCGAATACAAGACGCCGTAAAAGTCGGTAGTAAATCCGTCTCGAGCTTCTAGATATGGCATTTACGACTTTTGGATTCTTTATAACTTGATATACATCAGCCCATTCACTCGGATGCATATTAAACGCTACTGGAATCTATTCGAATCCATCCAATAACAGGATCAAGAAGTTTTGTCAGTGTGCTAACAAATTGTGTTAACGGCAGGTTGATATCTGATCATTAAAGGTAACTATAACTTTTGATATATCACACTTTATCTAGGCTCTTATTACAAAGTCTTCAACTAGATGGTCCTTTCCTTGGCGTTTAACGACTCGTCTAGCGACATGATCCAGAAAAAAATGCGTTTCCCGCTTTTTTTCAAAAATACGTCCAATACTATAGTGTGATAACTGGTTAGATTTCATTGAGATCGTGAACCGATCAATGTTAGACCATTATTTGAAACCTAAAAGCTATGGATGGCCATTTAGTCGTTTTATGTTAGTTTCTAACTTAAATCAATCTACTATGTTACGCAACAACCTCCTATTGTCTTTAGTAGGTAAATGTTTCACCCTCGGCATGGTTGAACTCCACCGGTCACGGCTAAATAAATAATCTCTCAATGTATGATTACATGGAAGTTATCCAACTTATGTCTTATTGGTTGGAGATTAGTGTATTTTAGAATTACATTCCCCATCCACCTCTGAGATCCAAATTAGTTTTAGATTGCTGATCAGCTGTGTGAACAGCCCTGATAGTTGGCATTTTAAATATAATTTAAAACTTCATGTATCTGTGTAGTTGTGTGAATGTTGTGATAGACAAAATCAACTTTTGACTCGTGGATTATATAAATATCGCTCACCATTGATTCCAGCGAATTTTAAAATTAAACATTGCCTTGTAACCAAGACTGGAATGAAGGATAATATAGTTTACGATGTGATAATGCTTTTTGAAAATGATATGTTTGGTTAGCATATGTTAGTACATCACTATTCATATGGGTTCCTACAGGTCTTGCTACGTAATATCCTATACTTACGTTATTTTGTTGATGTATCCGTTTGCATCGATTTTGTATGTTTTCAACAATGACATGCTTCACTTCATATTCTCGAAAATTAATTCGTACTGGGTTATCCGAATTTTTTTGAGAAGCTGGAGATTGCCATATTTTTCACTTCGTTGCTCAAAACTTAGGTACTATTAAGGGAAACAATCACGATACTAACAGCTTCTGGGCAAACAGCAAAGTTAACTGAAATTTTATCATTGGGTGAATTTTTAGTCTGGCATTCATCTTTAACGGCATATCCCAGTACAGATATTTAACTTAAGCAGGTCCATTTCATCTATTTAACCGAAGTCTGATTTACATTATAGCAAATTGATGTTCAGAAGTGTATTCCGCTATTAACAAGAGGTCAGTTATGGTTATACTCACCATTTTACAAAAAAGATAAGAACCTTTGAACTTTCCAAGTAAATCCTCTTGTCTATCGATCAACTTTAATTTTACGGGACTTATTATTTCTACGCTATTGACTTTGTCACAAACCTACTGTTAATAAAATCTTGGTGGCTTAGAATGCTTATCTTTTGTAACGATATGAGAATATGTTGATGACATCAATGAACTGTTCTCATTCTGTTCAATTTTCAAGGACTATTATTCTAACGATGAAAAGTAATTCTAATTAGTCTTCATAATTTAGCATTGAACAAATACAAGACAATATCTGATCAATAACAACAACATTTCTTTTAGTATACTGACAATTAATTATACTGAAAACCTAATTGATTTCACACATATCTATATACATATGTAAAACGTTTACTATAATTTGAAGATTAAATAGTTTCATTAATAAAGTGGTTATTTAATAATTAAATGAAAAAAAGAAATATTGATAGGAGAGTACTTCTGTTCTCTGGATCTTATTTATCAATCACTGACGTTGATGTGTTTATATCCTAAGAATACACATTTGTTTCTATGAGAGTTTTTTTCTCTATTAAATTAAGTGTAATTTTATTGTACCAATGAGTCAGCCTATTTATTTTTGTGAATTATTTATTAATTTAGTGCAGTGTTATTTGTTGTTGCTTTAATTTCTGCTGCCTAAGTACTATTTAGCGATTGTGAATTTATGCAGAGTATCTGAATTATGACACTTAATTAGTGTACTTGCAAACACCAGGCGGGCAACCAGCGTGATTTATTGAATCAACGAATAATTTTATGAAACCTTGTCCTAATTTTTATACTAGAAGCTGACTATGGCCACAGAATTATTGAATTAAAACATGGAAAATCCGTTAAACGAAAATGTATAATATTAGGGGTAAAGTGAATCTGAAGGAAGTTCTCAAGCTAATTTATTCATAATCATACCTTTAAGACAAAATTAGAACGGGCTCGTTCAACAGATCAGAATATTCACTATTCTGTAATTTTTTAAGTGTATACTTTTGTCAGCTCCAACAGCATCTAAATTTTCCTTTCGTAATAATTTTTACTTGTTCAGAAAGGCTTTTGATTAACTTGCTTTGGCTAGCACGAAGTTGGGTTTTACAATTGCAACATTCGATTAGAAATTTCTCCGAACGTGAAGATTTATTCTAGAAAACAAACATGGCCTATTAACAAGTAATTGGCAACAGCAAATAAGTCAAATATTTCCCTAACGTTAGATTTCAGTTGGCTAACATCAATTATAGAGTAACACAATGTCGTGTTGTTATATTCCGATGAGAAAAATGATTGGTAACTTTTGAGAACTATCTATGGACGAATATGATACATATATTTTTATTGTATAATTGTTAACTAACCAAACTATTCATATTCGTATCCCTCTTATTATAAGCTTTATTTTGACCTTGGAACTATTATTATATGATTAACCATTCTTGAGTTATATCCAGTCTATTAATTAATTTCCCACATTTGGCTGAATCTTGCACAAATTCTGCTACCTATTTTATGGTACGATGTGATCTGTTTGGTAGGTATATAAACCCAGTATGTTTGGAATAAATGATTCATATTGCAGAGGCTGTTATTGGTGTTCTGGACTTAATAAATAGGGCTAGGCGGGTGGCAGAATCGATAAGGACTGTAAACTACTAGTAGGGGTTTTATGTGTCATTAGTCTGATGGAAATTCACTGCTCTCTAATTGGCGACATAGTCACATCATATATTAATAAGACCACAAACCCACAAGATATAACACGTGTGACTTAATTTATTAATCAGGTATAAAGTATCTAATTGTATTTCATTTATAAGTAAAAAGTCGAAAGTGATACTGCATTGATATAAGAACATACTAAAAATCCCATCTTATTAATAGTCGACATTAATTTGTGTGAAATGCCACTAAACTATTCATTTAAGCTACTTAAAAGTAACCTAAAACCGATTGATAACATATTTACACTCGTATCGTTTAAAGATTGTGTTCGTAAACACCACGGATGCTAAGATATGTAAAATCATCAACCATGAAATATGTCAGCATTTGACTATGGTGGTAATAAGATTTGAGTATATGAGGAGGTTAGTAGATATTTCTTTCTGGCAATAACCTGTAGGTTAGAAGGTTACCAATAAAGAAATCCTGTATTCTTCATCAGCCCCAGCTTTAAAAGTTCACAGTATATTGCTCTTAGTATACTCGATGAATATTTCAGAAATCGTGATTATTTTTCTGAAGAAAATCTTATCAAATGATGAGGAACTTGAAATAGACCCAAAACTACTATGAAAATAAATCATATCGAACGTTGGCGAAACTACATCGAATTAAATGTACAGATCTGAGGCTTCATATATGAGCAAAGATTATCTGCCAAATGTTATAGTCTGTATATCTTAAAGGTTTCAACCATTTACATTGTATATAGTGTATTTCAAATCACATGTTTCAGTGTTTCCAGAAAATCTTTCAAGTTATTGTATTCATTTCAATTGTTATTCATCTCATAATCATTAACATAGGCTGTCTGAAATAATTGCTTAGAAATGACGCAAATTGTCGCTTGCTTATCATTTTGAGTATTCTAGAACGATATTGATCATCTTTGTTTACAATAACAAGGTTCAGTGTTTTAGTTTATGCTTTCAGCCTTTATTAATTAAAATATATAAAGCTCTGATATCAAACCCCATTTCTAATCTACTAGCATAATAAGTTTTAGTTCTCTGAAGAATCGAGATCGGAAAAGAAATTTTAAAAAATATCCCACTTAATAATTAATACTTAAGTTCCATTCTTTTTTGTATCATATATAACTTTGAATACAATAATTCATAAGTTTAGGTGAATTTTCTTTTCTAGAAAATAAGTAATATATTGACGGGAATGTGATTAGTAGCTATGAAAAATTTGAAGCACTCGTGGTAGATTTCATTATGCATAAAAGTACTATACGCGTTCCATCAATAAAGCTTAAGTCTTCCCATTACACGTTTTAACTAACGTACAGACAAGCTTTTCTTTAGTATATTTACAACTTAAATATAACTTATTCAGGTACTATTCAATCACCATTCACTTATTTCTGTCCAGTGCTAAAAGATTTTGAATGGTGGTCTAATATTGATCGGTTCATGATGTCAATGAAACTGAACAATCTCCATAACCCGATACTGATATTCATTGTTATTGTCATTATTATTTCTCGTCTTCTAAATTGATGAGGGTTGTAATTAACACTCAATACACTACTGTTTCGTGCTCAGTCCTCATCATCCTAGACACATAGCCAGTTGAATATTCGATTTGTTTTGTAATTACAGTACTACCTCTTTCACTCCATGTTATCTGTATTTATTCTGATGATTAATCTTACACCTTCAGTTGACTTGTGAACATATCCGTTTTCACAGGACATATTGATTATAACTTTGTTAACAGGTTCATTTTGATAAAATTCCTAAACAAATATGTTGTTGTTTCTAGAAGATTTACATTGCTTAGAAGTAGCTATATTTTTGAAAAACATAACTCGAATTTATAACTGTGGAGTTTCAATGAGAATACATCGACTCTATTCAGTCCACATGTTCAAGACGAAATTAATGTCCTGAATGTCAAAAACGTTTTCATAAGTATATTAAAATGAATATTTTGTAAGGATCGATTGTTCGAAAATCATAATTTTATAAGTATAGTCCTTCACTCAGTAGTTAGAATCTTGATCCATCTTTGTTTTCATAGAATCATTCTTAATGTAATTGGTGTAGAAAACTGACCAATAAAATTACAACACTGAACATATTTGATTTGTTAGAGTACATCTGCCAAACCTAATAAATGTATGTGATTGGTTAAAGGAAATTTTGTAAAGTGAAATCTCAGTTTAAAACACTCTATCTACAAAATCGTTTACTACCACATGAAATTAATCACATTTTACCATGTTTGACTTCCTAGGTTTTAACGATGAAAAATATTCGAAACTATGATTTTCCTACGAAATTCTGTCTGACAGTTTTTGAATATAGTCCATCGTGAGCATACTTCATGTATCCATCCTACAACAATAGTTGTAAATATACAAATCCTATAAATAATGTCCCCAAAATCTCATCCTCTTACAGGAATGGGTGCGCTACAGAATCATCAACCAAAGTTATTCCTCGAAATAAACATAATGCAGCTTCCACACAAGTGTTTCAGCAAAATAATTGGGATTCAAATAAATCTGCTTCCACTTTGCTACCAACTTCCTATTTAAGGAGGTTATGTAAATTGGATTCCATCAAATATAGTGACGAAATGAGCATTCCGATTAGCAATAATACAGAGGATTACAACCACATTCAAAATGGTAATAAAAATCAACTAAACTTTCAAACTCCAAAAACCAAGAAGTTCGATGGAGTCTACCTTTCAGTAAATCGCAGAACACAACCGGGTATTTCGGCAGCAATAAGATTATTGTCACAAAATCTGAAGCCAAAAACAAGTCCTAATAACGAAGTTAATGATGATTCTAATGGTAATAGCGTTACTTGCGAGATCGTTACTAGTAATATCAATACTAACGAAAATACTCATAATAAAATTACCACTAATGATAAAAATGACAAGTTGTCCTTTACGTCTCCTCAATCAGGTGGAGTTTATTCTTGGAAGAATAAACGACACAGTTATACTCCTACTTTACTCACTAACTACAACTATGGTAATAATATTGGTAACAATTATATTAACACTTCAACATCAATACAGACTATAAATAACGAAGACACTAATAAATTAGCGAACAGTGCGCCTTGGAAAATGACGAAAGCTGATTCATTTACGTTGATGAAACCATCACTGCATAACAACGGTAATAATGAGATATATTTGACAAACAGTAATCCAGGATTTACAACTAATTTCAACGACAATAAAGATAATAAGTATTCATCTTTATGTACACGGACAAATAATTATGATACATTATTTAAACGTAGCTCCTCTACATCTCCATATAGACCATTAGCAAATTATCGTCCATCTTGGTCACTGTCATCTAATCATAAAATTCTATCTAATGAAACACTTTACAATAGTGTTGATTATCACAATGAGTATGTGACACCTAAACAAAAATATTTAGATTCGAAAATTTCGAACAATAATATCAGTAGTAAACGCCGTCCATCAGACAACGAGACAACAACTGGAACACAAACGCCAATGACCACAGTTATCTCTCAAAATTTACAGGGTTCACTAACGACATTATCGTCATTGGGTGGCAACGGAAATAATAATGCGACTAGATATTTGAATAAAAATGACCATTTTCCACCTAGACCAATTATTGCTAAACCTTCATTCCATTCAAAACACAATACTAATGAAGTAAACATGGAACGAAATGATGAACATCATAAATATGGTAGAACATATTATATTGCACGTCGACCTCAAATTGCACAATCAAATCATCAAAAATATCTACCTCATGCATTAAATCATGACCGTAATCTTTCATTTAATAATATTTATGATGCTAACACCTTGATAAATAACACTGATACTGCTGATCATGATTTCAATTTTACGAACAAAACAATCAGTAAGAAAATAAACAGAATGTCAGATTTTTTGAAGCCAAATTCCTATCTTTCAAACAGCACGTTAGCTTCGTACGGGAGAAATTCATCGTCTTTAAATTCTTTACCAAATGAAATCGGTTCTTTGCCTTCGTTAATTCAATCTGAGTACTACAATGATGATCACCGTATTAGCAGTAATCATAGTGATAAAGTTGTTGCTAACCGTAGTATCTTCGACAATTACTCCCCGATTTATTATCCAAATAACCAGACTTTATATACTGCTCGGCGTAATTTTCCAGATGATCGGAGTCATCCATCCCTACAAACAAAATATTCTTATCACCAAGATAATCCAGAAGCTTTTCGATCATTTAGCGTTAGTCCAGAAATAGGAAGAAGAATTTCTGAAGGTAAGCCGAAACAACTTGTTTTTTTAAACTATTCTGTTTATGAACAGTACACTTTTTAATTTAATTTGATAAATCATTTATGGTAAATTTAAATATGAATTTTGTCACATTTCAAGATCACATGTTACCCAATGACCATCATATGGTGAACTTTATAATCTAGTATTCTGAAATAAACCCAATGACACTTGATCTCTTCAAAGTTACATGCACCTACAAAAGGCATCTGGTGTTAAGTCATTACACGAAGTTTAAAGAAACAACATTTTTCTGAACTTTGCTTCTAACGTGTATGATATAGCTCACGATTCTTGTAAAATAATAACATGAAAGTAATCAAAAATCCTTCCAAAAACGTTTACTCTGGACAAACTATACACTTTTCTGAAATCTTATTGTGATCACATATTTCTCGAGTACGGCTCATCCTAATTGTACCTTGCAATCCAACTTTTTCTATGGAGCTAGTTATTTTCGAAGCATAATCTAGGAACTCAGTCAAAGAATTTCCCAGAATCATCCTGCTTGGTTAATTAAAGAACATGTAATATCTATTAAAAGCTCCATAAATACTGTTTTAATAAATAGAGGGTATAAGAACGACATAAATGAAGTCTTCGGAGTGATCCACTGTATTTCTGTAAATCTATAACATTTTTACATATACATTCTTTACGTGCATCTACCTTCGAGAGAAATTTGTATTACTGCTCTCTCCATCTCGAGTATTAACAAAGCCAATGTTAATGTAAGTCACAAATGACTTATTATTCCAACTTCCATTTGATGGCTAAAATTTTTAAAAATTGTTTTGTGTCCTTACTTTTAAATAACTCCAATGTTCTCTTAATTCTTACACAACTATTATTCATACCCGACGTTCCATCAAAAAGTTCTCAATTTACTTGTAAGATATTTTGTCATCTGCCAAGTCCGTAACTGTCCGCTTCAATTTATTTCTTCAATAATTAATACCTTCGAATATTAATTATTGTGTCCAAATCATCTTTTAATTTCATTATCAATCATTCGTTACTATTTTTATAGTTAGGTAATATTATTTATTTACTGTAGAATATAACATCACTCTAGGAAGGAAACAGCTTCAGTTCGTGAGTAACCATCTGTTGCTTATCTTGACATGTCTTAATGAAATCAACTGGACTTTATTCGTATAGAGTTCAGTTTGCCCTATAATGCTGACTTTTAATGACCATGGTGTCACCATTAGTACGTCATGGCGTGTTACTATAGATATAAACGGAAAATGTGAAATGTTTATAGTATGATCCCATCATGATAAGGCCAACGTTTTCCTTTATTATAGTATGAATACTACTATTATTCCAATGTTCTAATTTGTTCACACATTACACTTAGGTCAATTATGCTGGTTTTTTAGTTTACTGAGCACAAATTTAGGCATTTTTATAACTTCATTTTCCATTTGTAGATTATGAATTTGAAATGTGCCGTTGACTTTACTTATGATTAAATTAATAGTAATTTATTTCTTATACATAATACAAAAATAACATTAATAATCCTCTGGATTTTAGCCTTCTAAAAAATGTGTCATTCTAGTTAGCGGACAAAAACATAAAACAGACTAATGTGATAAACTATTCAAAGAATTTACAGAATTTTTATTACGGCTCCAAGCAGTGACACTAATCTAAACATTGATACATTGTACAATATGGATCAAAAATATTGAACAATATTTTATGGGTTTGCGTTTTGAGTCTTTAGAGACCATCATATTGAGATAACGAGAATATTTAAATCATCTTGTCACACATTAAAATGTAACCAAGTGAAATGAGTTTTAATTACTAGTTCTGAACATAATAAACGCTTACTAATAATCTTTGTTACTGATTTGTTAAGGTCAAAGTAAGATGATGAATCTGCAAACGGAAATGAAAGTTAGTTGCCATGATAGAATTTTAAAACGGATATCATAATCTTCATTTGTCATCAATCAAAAAGTGATGTCCTAATAAATTTCAAGCTGGAGAGCATACTGGTGTTAAGTTATTTTGAGACTAGACATAAATGATGTAAGAAAGACTGGTTCAATGAAGAGTTCGCTTTTTGGCGATTTCATTTTCAAAGTTGTACGATCGCAAATATATATATTTATTTTTCAGGTTGATAATAATTACAATAACAGTAATAATGTGATTCTGTTAAACATGGTAACAGTGAAATAAAATCCTTTCCCACTTATGGTTTCCCTGTTTATTTGCATGATTAATATTCAAAACCCTAACAACGGAACTATTATTAGTTTCCCTTATAAAAACGATCTTTTGATACCTTTGTTTACCCTACCTCACTGTTACCATGTTTAACAGAATCATATTATTACTATTATTATAATTATTACCAACCTGAAAAATAAGTATATATATTTACGATTGTACAACTTTGAAAATGAATTCGTCGAAAATCGAACTCTGTTCAACTAACCTTTCTTATTTTGCGTTGTAATGTTTATATTCCGTTTACTTAAAAATACCATGAACATAAATGGACACTTTTTTGAGCGTAACTTTAACTGTAATTACTTCATGAAAAAGATTTGTGCATCTTTATAAAAATTTTAATGTCAGTTTACTGAACAACCATCGACAGCTAGAAAATAACGAATAAGTGTTTTATTTCAAACTAAGATTTCATAGAATAATACTAATATATAATAATTTAGGTTAATCTATCAACCAATGGGATTCCTAATAATAATGGGTTTTTTTAGCCCAAGAGAAAACTCTCCGTTAGTTGTAATTTGTCAGAGTACTCAATGAAGAATGTAACGACAATGTAAGTTGATAACAGTGTTTCTCACTCTTGATTATCTGCATCTTTCTTTTACACCTATATTACTGGATATAATGACATTAAAAATTGTTTCATACCTATTTAAGTGACGTTGTTCTCCCTGAGCTAGTTTAGTACCTGTGATTTAGACTAAACAACTGACTACTTATAAGCACAGGTTTGTGATTCTATAATTACAAGATTTAAATAGCAAAGAGCTATATGATATTAATGTTAACGTACGTGGTAATACAAAGAATCAGTGTTGTTAGGGTTGCACAACTTGGGTATTTTAGCTTTTATGAATAAAATGTAACAGAAGTACCTACCACTCAAAAATCCTAAAATGAGATAAAACTGCTCAAATTATGTTTGATGTCAACAGCTGGGTAAAATTGTTTGTTTGGTTAAATAGTCAATGATCGTATTTCAAAATAATAAATAGTCTACTTAATAAATGTATAATCTACCTAATTTATTGTTAATAATATCCGTCTAACCTATTTCAGTCCATAACTTGCAACATTACTAACTTCTATTGTACAACGTAAGCAAACACATGTTAACTGTCAGTACAATCGTGTTTAGGCTTTTGTAATTCAGTAATATAAAAACTTTTAAATTCGGCCATCATAAAATCTTCATTATGCAACTTTTTCATCAAGCCTATGTGTCAATAAAATTATTTTTATGGAGGATAACTTGGTAAGGCAGTTCAGTTATAATAGCGTTGTAATGTAAATCGTAAAAATTTGGAAATCTACTAAATTGTGAATTTAGGCTATATCGAGGCTATACGCACAGTATGCCCATATGCCAATTAGAGACTGACCAGTTGCAGTCCTAAAAACACCAATGGGAAGATCCAAACAAACAATACTAAGTAAATATCAATCTACTAAATTATTTTGCTTAAAAAAATCCGTGTTTCAATAGTACTTTTATTATAACAATGTCAAGTACAAGTAACATTTTAAAAATGAAAATGTTGTCGTGTCTATATATATACACTTGACCTTTATGTATTTATAAATATTTAATAAAAGTACAGGTGGATTGAATCAAGTGTACCTTGCACTTTAATTAAATACATAAATAATTATCCTGATTTAAATTAATTAGCATATTAGTTCTTCAGAAACCATTATAAAATCATAAGAATAATTGGTGCAGGGTGTATTAACAAAAACTATTCCGTGTACGTCCCTTGAATATGAACTGTTGAGACCAATTACATTATGTCCCATTAATTTTGAAAATTTTCCATTTAATGTTTGTAGCTATAGAAATTTGTTTTCAAGAAATTTGAATAAAATTGATTGGTTTAATTAAAGTTTTCGTCAGTAACAATTATCATTTTCAGAGTTACTACTAGTTAGAGTAATGAATTTATGGTTGAATTCACGAATCAATTGAAGCTGGAGCACCACATAAGAACGAAACATCCGCCCAGTGCTTCAACGTTTCCAATGGTGGTCTACGTTCAATTGACTCATGAATTAAACTATAAAATTACTAAAATCTCCATAAAAACCCTTCTCATAACGTAGAGAAATGGTTGGCAGATCCTTTTTTCGTATTCGCGACCTTTTATCTAGACGAAGTTGGAATTGAGAATATTATACAATTATTTATTACAAGAATGATATCAAACAAAGACTAATTTGTAGTTAATGAAAGGTGAATATTTTTCAAATAGAAAAAGATCATTTCGATTAATGAGGAACAGATAACGTACTGCGACTACATATTTGATCGATATTAAGTTGTAATCGCCACTCCTGATAAATTTATGCGTTTTCATTTTCGTTACATATCAGAGTAAAATAATCAATATATCAATATTCGCTCCAGTATGTTTGAAATAAATGATTCATATTGCAGAGGCTGTTATTGGTGTTCTGGACTTAATAAATAGGGCTAGGCGGGTGGCAGAATCGATAAGGACTGTAAACTACTAGTAGGGGTTTTATGTGTCATTAGTCTGATGGAAATTCACTGCTCTCTAATTGGCGACATAGTCACATCATATATTAATAAGACCACAAACCCACAAGATATAACACGTGTGACTTAATTTATTAATCAGGTATAAAGTATCTAATTGTATTTCATTTATAAGTAAAAAGTCGAAAGTGATACTGCATTGATATAAGAACATACTAAAAATCCCATCT